TTTAGGGCGCTATTTTAGCCATTTCCGACTCCAAATTTAGGTATAAAGTGTGATTTACAATATACTTCAATGAGAATGTACAGATTACACACAGGTAAATTGGCTGTTTTAATTACTTTTAATAGATACTTTTAATCTTGTTTTGGATAATTCGTATCCTTACTTATTCTTGCCTACATCGGTCCCCAAATCGGATACACTTACACCCTTATGATTTAACATATCACATAATAGTTCTTTTAATCTTTGTATTCAATCCATGTTTTTTTTTTAATGATACATATCGACAAAATGTTTGTGTACTGGTGTCAGGGCGTGTTTTAAGACCATATTGCTCACCATTTTGGGTGATGGCCTTCACATGGTGATATCTATGGGCTTCGATAACTACATAGTGGGTGGGCCGTAAACTAGGGCAAACGAATATATGCTCAATAAAAATTAATTAAAAATAGGTTCGGCGTTTTAGAGGTACCTGTGGCTTGCAGTAAACACGTCTGCCCACTTCATGATGATTCAAGGATTTATGTAACATACCAGCCATATTCTGTTGCATATTAATACATCTAATTAAATTTGTATAGGTATATCATTAAAAAGCAGCAACCGTCTTGTAATCCGCTTGTATATTATCTGAATATTAACTGAAGTTTGTTTAATTTGAACTAGATAATTATTATGTTTTTACAGGAAACGTAATCTCCTTTCTTATTACGTAAAAATTTTAATAAATAAAATTTCAAGTAATGATAATTTTACCAATGTCTTCGTTATTAAAATGCAATTCTATAAAACAGTATAAATATAATATTCTATTAATTTTCGGAAGTTTATGTATTAAGCATTTAGCAGATACCACTACGCGTATGCTAGCGAAACTAACTAGCTTTCTCCTTTGAAGGATCGATTTCCCGATATACCAATGCAATAGAAACCTCATACTTTTTTTTTGTCCTACCTGTGCTGATAGCCTTGAGGGGCTATTTCAGCTTCTCCTTGACGTGTAGGTGAGCTCACGGGGCTCAAACCGGAGTGATGCTAACACTGGCCCTAGCAAAGGCAGTGCTTCGCAACCCACTGAGAAGATCCGGTGAAAAACTCAGTGGGATTTGTCTATAGGTTAATTTATTCGTCAAAGTCCTTCGTCAAGCAAGCGACGGGTTCGGCGAGGACGGTGACCGGAGTCATGCTTCAAGAAGGGTTGCGCCACCCACAACTTAGTTATTCCTTACGCACTTTTACATATTTAAGCTAATAAAAATCTTCCCTACGACAACCTTGCTGTATGATCCACTCGGGCAGTCGTCCGAACCTTTTAAGAGGCTTCCGCGCCTGAGGGGGCGCGCGGGGTATGTGGGACATGTAAGCGTGCAGATTTTGAGAGCAGACCGCGGACTCAAGTATGTTTTAGGGCCTTAGATCTGTTAGTTACCCTGACAAGTACTACGAAGTTTGAATCAGTATGCCGAAAAAATACTTCATTTTTGAAGTCTGGATGTAAATGATTTTGTCTCTTGTTTCCAGCATCCATAACTGTGCTGCTACTACTACTAAATATGCAAATTCCGTACTAATATCATCATCTTCTATAATCCAGGACCTTTAAGGCCGGCTGTACCCGCTCGTCGAGACACCACGAGACAGGCCAAAGGCGAGTGTACATGGCAACCTCGTCTCGTCTCGTGGCTTTCGTTCCCTCTCGGAAGCGTGTCGGTTTTTTGCGCTCGAGTCAAAGGGTCTGGGAGTCTAAGGGAACGCGCGTGTACACACTCGTTCGTTTTGGTTGTCCGCCAACTGCGTCAGTTTCTTCTAGGTCCATCGCAACGGGCTTCCGAAGTTCAATCGATACGAGTGTGTTTACATGGTGTGGTCTCGTGTCGAGCCTCTACGCGACGAGAGGCACACGAGACAACGACACGAGTGTGAACAGGCGGCATAAGACCTTACTAATGGTTTATTCTTATTTGTTCGATGCGCCTTAACTCACAAAAACTCAATACGATGGAGAGACATTGTGAGCTTATAAACATACAGCAATACAAACGTGATATTCTAAATTATTTTTGTCGTTTACAATCTATCGAAATTTTATAATATAAGTATTAATTATTAGCAGTCGGTGTATTTTCCGAATATATAACATGATATTTGTTTCCCAAATAAATAAATTTACTGCTCGCAATCCCGCAATCCCAATCTGACTGCCCTAGCAAATAATCTTTTACCCGCATAGTATTTTTATCCACAACGTACATTTCAGATTGAACATCAAACCTTTCTGATTTCGTTGACAATATGTTAAGTAGACATGTTTTAACGGTTTATCTCCAGTTGGCTCCAACTTGTTTTTCGTCCGCTCTAAATAGATTACAAGAAATAATACGTACCTTCAAAGAGTTAATGGCCATACATTCCTTTGTGCATCACATTTCGAACGCCAAACGCCGTTATGTCTCTAAAACATTCACGTTATTAATGTGATCTACATATGTATCTTAAATTTCAACAATATTTCATTTTTATTGAATAATAAAATAATTTATTCTCTTTTTTAAAACTACTTTTACTGTTTAAGCTCGCGTTTTTATTGTTATTACATCGTTTCCGACGTCTCAAGTCTGTGACCGCGGAAACTATAAAATATAAACATACTATCTATTATTTTCCATCTCATTTTTTTATTTTTTATTGCTTAGATGGATGGACGAGCTCACAGCCCACCTGGTGTTAAGTGGTTACTGGAGCCCATAGACATCTACAACGTAAATGCGCCACCCACCTCGAGATATAAGTTCTAAGATCTCAGTATAGTTACAACGGCTACCCCACCCTTCGAACCGAAACGCATTACTGCTTCACGGCGGAAATAGGCGGGGTGGTGGTANGTTAAGTGGTTACTGGAGCCCATAGACATCTACAACGTAAATGCGCCACCCACCTCGAGATATAAGTTCTAAGATCTCAGTATAGTTACAACGGCTACCCCACCCTTCGAACCGAAACGCATTACTGCTTCACGGCGGAAATAGGCGGGGTGGTGGTACCTACCCGTGCGGACTCCCAAGAGGTCCTACCACCAGTGAAATTTTTATATTATTATTTTATATTATTGAATGATAAAATAAACTTTGCCATTACTTCACCGGTCTAAAAAAGGCCACAGTGCCGAGAAGAACCTGTGAAACAAACTCAGCAGGCTTGTCTTTTTACATTTTGATTACGGAAGATAAATTAAGGCATGTTGCGTACATTCAAGTTATCTCTTGTTGCATAATAATATGCAATCTTCTTTGAATTTTAATGAACATAATATGATTATACTCGTAATAACAGTAACGAACAGTGAACAACAGTTTTGTGGGGCTTCGCTGCAGAGGCGGAGTCATATATACCTATACCTACCTAAATTAATATTTTTTTGCGTGAATCTGAGATGTGATGATACAAGGCCATGTTTATGCTCAAGACTCATAATGTGAATATCACCGATTAGAACAAGAAACATACTGTTTCTGCCTACACAGTGCTGTGATATTGCAAACTGAATTAAACATAATTTCGATATAATATTTCTTTACATATCTATATATATAAAAATGAATTGCGTTCGTCGAATTCGTTAGTCTCGCTAAAACTCGAGAACGGCTGGACCGATTTGGCTAGTTTTGATCTTGAATTATTTGTGGAAGTCCGGATAAGGTTAAAAGGTAGATAAATATGAAAATGCTCGGAATTAAATAAAAATAACAATTTTGTTTTTCCTTTGATGAGTTCCCCGTCGGACGGATTCCTTTTGTTTGTTTTAAGTTTACTTTACGCAAAAGTTTAGGTATTTTATTTATCGGTTGAGGCACTACGAAGTCTGCCGGGTCAGCTAGTTTAAAATAATAATTTGAAAAAAAACTTGTAGTTTTGAACATGAAATCGTCATAATTGTTTCCATTTGAATAATAGCGACTTATATTAAATATTCTATCAATCGCAGTAGTAGCCAAAGCACCTGGTATTAAACCAAATAAATATTAACCGACTTTTACATTGCATTTCGACCTAGATACATCCACCAGACGCATCGCTGCACGTAAACAAACCGTATTTTTAAATAATTCACGTTACTATAACTTTACATTTTCTCGTCGAGTGTGTTTTAGGTTTTCCCCATTTCAAATTCATTATCTTCTAAATATTTATTCGTCAAAAGATTGGAACTGCTGTTGTAATCAATGAAGACAATTTTCATATTATACAAAAAACAATCGCAAGCTATTGTTATATACAGACCTGGATGACCGGTTTTTTTTTTTGATAAATTGTATTTTTAGAAATTGTATTTAAATACGAATTACATATTGATATTATATTATATTATATCATTTTTTATTTTCTTTCAATGAAAAAAAAAGTTTAAGTTGATTATCGATAAAGTTGATTATTGAAAATACGAAAAAAAAAACATTTTCTGAAAATAAATAGTTGCTAGATTGATTTATCGCCCCCGAAATCCCTATATAAATAAATTTTATGAAAATCATTAGAGCCGTTTCCGAGATTCAGATTATACTAGCTATACCCGTCCGTTTCGCTGGGTATTTAAAATTAACATTATTGTTACTCACCCCCACAAAGAATCTCATCATTAACGCCCCCGCAACTGGTGTAGGAGTCCAACACTCATATAAATATTAGCCTATCCACTAAGTACATGTATTTTCTACATGTATACCAAGTTTCAAGTCAATCGTATGCATGGTTCAGTAGTTACAACGGAACATCCGTAAAAACCACTGTAGATTTATATATTAGTATAGATACAAGAATTGCTCGTTTAAAGATATAAGATATGTTATATAAAGATAATAATTATGTTATATAAAGTAGTATTCATAAGATAATATTAAAAATTTCGGTATTTAGAATAATTTTTCCTTTCGGCATGATCAAAGCTAAGGATACCAAAAAGTCTTTTTCAAATTTACAACGAAAGTTTATTTCTTTTTTAGCGGTGTCGGCTCGTTGGTCGGCTCTGCGTGCAGCCGCCACTCGTCGTGGTGGAGCCAGAAGACTCCGCAGGGAAATGGCAGCGCTTCGGGAAACGCTCGACGATATCTGTGACCCTGCAGACTGCGCTCCCCAACCGCACACAAGAGCTCAACTACACAGGAGAATCGAAGAGTTAAAGGTAAATTTAAAACTAATATGAACAATACAAACAATCAAACAGATGCTTTAAGAAAATATATGTACTCAGCTGCAAACACAATAGAAACTGTAACCGACGAAACATTACGTCATCCAAATAAATAATGAGGGTTTGGTTATTACTCATTATTATTTTTTCCTGCCTATGCTGATAGCCTTGAGAGGCTATTTCAGCTTGTCCTTGACGTGTAGGTGAGCTCACGGGGCTCAAACCGGGAGCGTTGCTAACACTGGCCCTAGCAAGCAGTGCTTCGCAGAATCTACCACCGGATCGGAAACGCGACCCACTGAGAAGATCCGGCGAAAAACTCAGTGGGCTGTGTCTATGGGTTAATACACTCGTCGAGCCCTTTGTCGCAGGCGACGGGTTCGACGAGAACGATGACCGGAGTCAAATGAATGATATGAATCAACCACATGATAAATTGATGTTGCTTAAAACAACTTATTCATATTTTGTTATTGTAAAATATTATACAAATTCCAATTATTTTTTCCAGGATCGCCTATCGCGTCTTTTAGAATGCAAAGTTTCAATGTTGAAATTGACGGTCTCTGTACGTCGGACTCTCGGCGAGATGGAGTCAGATGATAGCGGTCTCGCTACTGAATTGGCAGCGTTATTATCCGCATGGGATGATGCGCATCAACGGTACGTTTTAACACTGGTCATTATTATAATAATATATCTATAGCATTAAGTAAACTAGCTTGAGTTTGTTATGGATATAATTTAAACTAGTGCATTATTTGTAGCGTTTAATAACACTTTCCATTTCAGGACTTCTAATGAACTTCTCTCCTTGGAAAAAGCAATATGTGCTTGGGCCGAATGGGAGGGTGCGCTCCGCGAACTTCAAGGCGAATTGAGGGGAGATCTAGCTACTTTGGAGGCATTGCGTGATCGTGGCACAATCGTTGGTGACCAAACCGAAGTCGCCACTCAGATCAAACAATTGGCCGCATCTCTTATAGAGAAAAAGAAGGTATAAATTAAAAGGCCGAAAACATTAGTACTAATATTTGACAATAGAACCTTAATAATGGTCAAAATTATAATTTTAATTAATTATAGTCGAATTTCGAGTACTACAGGACCACTAGTTAATACTAATATGTATATATTTTTTAATTTTTTATAACGTTAATTATTTTTATAGGGTAGTTCAACATGCGACTCCCTCTCGGACTCTGGTATATCTGACGGAGATAGTGAAGGTGTTGGCAGACGGGCGAGACGTCTGGGTGCTCTGAGAGAGCTGGCGCGTCGTTTGCAAGCGACTTTAGCTCCGAATTCCCCAGCACACAGGGCTATTGCCAAGGTACTAAATAGTTTGTCTAATTTTAAATCCACCTTGTTCTAGTTTGGTAGATCTATTTATTGGACATTGATCAAGTGATTAGAAACTGAACGTTGCGTTTGTTTATTTTTAGCGTATGGAACAAACCGAAAACGAAGTACGCACCTTACAAGCGTCTTGTAAAGCGCTGGTTGAACAAAACATACCGGAACTTAAAATTGACGATGACATGTAAGTAATACCGTATTTTATATTTTTTGTATAGATATGCGTACAAAACAGTAAACATCCAGATGAAGTTTTTGTAAGCAATATCTATAAATTAATACGTGAAGCAAAAACTTTGTATCCCTTTTTACGAAAATTGCGCGGACGGAGGAGTGTGAAATTTTCCACACTTATAGAGAGTAGGTATAGAGAAGAAGTGCACAATGCCAATATTTTTTTAAAATAATGCATAAAAGATACATTAAATCAATAAAGAAAACATTACACACACTACATACCATGTATTTGATGCACACACGCATGCATACTATTTATTGTCAAAATTGACGTCTGTGGTCAAATTGAGAATAGATTAAAATATATTGTTTGTCTTTGTTAATATTTTTTATAGTGTAGTCTTGGCAAAATTTCTTGGCGAAGTATAAAATACAATCATAATAGTGTACAAACTTACAATTCCAATTAATTATAGTCGAATTTCGACTACTGCGGGACCTCTAGTTAATAATTAATGTGAAGAATTAATTAACTATAATACTTTAGATATTGATTGATAACGATTTCGGAGACGAAAATGACAATTAAAAAATCCCAAAATAGTTTTTTTTTATTGCTTCGATGGGTGGACGTGCTCACAGCCCACCTGGTGTTAAGTGGTTACTGGAGCCCATAAACATCTATAACGTAAATGCGCCACCCACCTTGAGATATAAGTTCTAAGATGTCAGTATAGTTACAACGGCTGCCCCCCACCCTTCAAACCGAAACGCATTACTGTTTCACGGCAGAAATAGGCAGGGCGGTTGTACCTAACCGCGCGGACTCACAAGAGAGACCTACCACCAGTAAAGTTTATTTAAAGTTTTATTTAAAGTTTATAATTAAAGTTTGTTCACTAATTTAAATTTATTATAGTTCTGTTTATTTCAGAGAAAATAACGTCGGCCCAGTAGCTGGCAGTAAAACTGGCTCGGGCGATCCCGACTANTTCACGGCAGAAATAGGCAGGGCGGTTGTACCTAACCGCGCGGACTCACAAGAGAGACCTACCACCAGTAAAGTTTATTTAAAGTTTTATTTAAAGTTTATAATTAAAGTTTGTTCACTAATTTAAATTTATTATAGTTCTGTTTATTTCAGAGAAAATAACGTCGGCCCAGTAGCTGGCAGTAAAACTGGCTCGGGCGATCCCGACTACAGCCCTCGGGGTGGATGGGTGTGGCGTGTATTACGTTCATCTCTCCCCATCCAACTGTGCCTTGTCGCTTTATTGTTAGCCGCTTGGTTGGTTGAACGTCCACGATGCTGCGATGCTCTTAACTCTCTTGCCCAATCGTTAACTCCTCAACTAAGATACGTTCGAGGACCTCCTCCAGTTTGAGAAGCAAGATAAACAAAGTTGTGGTTAATTAAGCTAGAATTCTAGCAGGATTTTATGGATATAGACACGGCAAAGGGTTATAGGCACATCCCAGTAGCACAATTTGTGTGATGCACTTTTGTATTTGCCATCGAGTGTGTTCCGAGTTTTAGCTACGTAAATGACGAATGGTATTTAGACAATATCTAATTCAATTTAAGAGAAAAGTAGATTTTTCTTAAGGATGTATGTGACTATATCTAGATGGTTTTTGATGACGTAATGAAATGCCTGTTTTATATCTTTATTTAATAATTGAAAGTTTAAATAGAGAAAGGACAGTAAATAGGTTTGATTGACATTTACTAACATATAGTTATGGATGTACCTTAAGGTATAAACGTAGTAGAAGAATAATGAGTGATAGTAGAACGAAAGACTAAGCGGGTCGCTATCACGACGAACTCGCCGACATTAGCTTAAGAGAACCGTAAAATTCAAATTGTTGCTCACAGCAAAAAAAGTTCAAATAAATAAAAATGTTCCAAAAAAAAAAAAAGATTGTCTGTATCAGACGAAGTTCAAACTAGTTTTGTATTTTAGTATTGATTTTATCATAATACTAACATTTAACGAGAACGTAGGCTAGAAAGCATGCCTATTTTAGTACAATTATTTTTTTTAGAATACTAAGATAAGAATGCGAGTGTGAGTGATCTTTCTAAAGAAAAAAAAAGACCTACATATCTTTATAGGCTTTTATAGAACAGCTATACACTGTTAAGAGATACTAGTGCGTTTTCATTTATTCTAATTAAAAACACTACAAAACAAATCGTTCTTTAAGCTCCACAGAAAGAAAAGACTGATAAAATGTAAATTGCAATGTTAACTTTTCATAAGTTGGTCAAAACTGTATTGCCATTTTACCTAGTACCTTATTTATATATCTATTAAGATTTTCCATTTCGTTAACATATACAATTACTTGTTTTTAAATAGCAACCTAATTCATTCTATAGAAACAATGAAGTCAATGTAATTAAACACAAATCAAAACATTTTGTTCTTCAAAATCCGGACTGAACATTTAATGTACCTTAACTATAATAAAAAAAGAAATATGTATCCACTCTCAGCTAGTTTTAACTAGTTTAATATCAAATATCTCCATTACTGAAAGAAAAAATGCCTGAAACGTTATGATACTTTCAAATGATTATTTATATACATTTATGTTCCAACACATACAACATCATGTGTAAATAGAACTCTGTTCAATTCTCTTCAGAAAATAATTTCCGGTTTTTATAGATTTTGCTTTTGAACATTTTGCCATTTCACAAACTATACAGTATTATATTACACCTTTGTGCACAGCTAGTGATTTATGTATTAAGTTAACGAAGATTTTTTAGCTGTCTTAACATAGAGAAAATATATAGATTAAATGATATACAATTTTTATATTAAAATGAAGCACATTAAATAAAGATATTTTTGACTCAAAATACAAAATGAAAACTGGCTGAGAAAATAAGGAAGATATAAACGTTGCAATCCCCTTTCAGAACACATAACCATTCATAGCAAAGTCATTCTTCACAGCTGCCATACAAAAACCAGAAGAAAACTGGCTTTGCTCAATTTGGAAAATCCACTCTTAATCCTGACCACAAACATAAAACGCTTATATTATCTCAGAAGTTAATTAGCCAATTGGTTATTCAAAACACAACATGTGTGATTTAATTGCATTCTTCATGAGGTCTTTTTGTTTTAATTAAAGTTACCCCTAAGCGACCTAATTGTAATTTGAACTACTTTTATCAGTTTTAAAAGAATAATATGATCAAATAGTTTTAGCCCAAATTTCACATAAACAGATTCAAATATACAGAATTACTCATGTTTACAGATTAAACAAGACTGACAAAAGAATTAACCATGATTTTGTAAGTGTGGAAAATGTATATTTTATGTTCTCTCCATTACATTTAAAATAAAATTTATCTCCTATTCATCTTTAGCTATTAATTCATGATTGAGAAACAATTTAAACTCCTGTTATTTACTTGATTTGTGCACAATTAGGAGAATACTTTTCAGTTTTCCTGAACATTGATAAAATAAATACAAAATGAAACCATAAAAAATTATTCAAACATTCTTACGACTAAGAAAACTACGAAACTGATTATTAAAGAATAAAAATCTATAAGTATATTTGATTTTGTGAAATAAAAATCAAGGACATTAATTTTATTATGTATTATTGAATTGTTTAATTGAAATTGAAATGTGAATCAGATTATAAATTCTTAATTTTAAATGACAAATTATTTAAAAAAAAATCAATGACAATCTACTTTAATTATTTAAACTGGTAATTTAATATTATACATCTGGGCCTAACCGACGACAAAACAAAGTACCATCGATAGAAGACTATATAGTTATGTGTGAGTTGCTTGAGACACCTAGTCTGAATCCGTACTGGCCAGGTGCAGGCGAGCGTCTTTAACGTAATTACAACAATAAATTTTATTTCAAACCAAATCAGCGAAACCATTACATTTTAATGATTGAAATTACGTTTTTATTTTGAGATTTTCGATTCGGGCCACATCAAACATTCAGAGAAAATGACAACTGAAAAGTTAAACACATATGTAGTAGGTACGGTACGGTAGGTACCTACTTAGCTAACTTATCTATTTAGCCCGTCGTAACAAGTGATAATGGTGAAAAGGGACGTCAAAGGAACCGTTGGCACACTGAATAAAAAATTGGGACTAGCCTGCACTCGGCCAGATATGCCAGCAATGTAGAGTTCAGGCAAAACCACACCTATGACTACTGCTTTCCTACCTACGGCCCACGCGCATTTATTACCGTCATTATGGAATACAATATTATGTTATCGTGAACGAAAAATATTTTTGAGTCCTAAGTTTTTGTTTTAGTAAATGGCTCAATGTTAAACTGCCTTAAAACAAGTTTGAATGTGAGAGTGACTTAATATTTACTTATCAAATATTTAAAAAATAGGTCTTTTATAACCTATAAGATGTTTGTCTCTAGTATCTAAGTTAAATTAATTTCGCTGCAGTTTTCAAAATAAGAACCTTGAAATCACGCCGTGTGACAATAATGTAAACAGATGCAGCGAAAGTCATTCTTCGATGTTATATTGACAGGGCCTTTATAGTGTGTCATATTTCTTTTAATTTCCTAATTTAGTTAATCGATATAATTGAAAGAAAATAGACATGCCTATGATGTGCATTTAATTTTTCGTTCTGCAGTTAAAGTTGTGAAGGCATTTTTATTGTATGCGTTGTGGCATGTTGGCTTTTGGAATGGAAATAAAAAATTATAATATAATGTCAGTTTTATTTAAAAAATATTCCTACAATCGTGAACCCTCTTTTCTGTAAGATAAGAATTATTTTTTTTTTAAGTCAATACACATAGCAACAATCTATAATATAGCAAAGATGGACAGGGTGCTGCCATCATTAATATTACGTTACCGTTACTGGTGGGAGGACCTCTTGTGAGTCCGCGCGAGTGAGTACCACCGCCCTGCCTATTTCTGCCGTGAAGCAGTAATGCGTTTCGGTTTGAAGGGTGGGGCAGCCGTTGTAACTATACTGAGACCTTAGAACTTATATCTCAAGGTGGGTGGCCCATTTACGATGTTTATGGGCTCCAGTAACCACTTAACACCAGGTGGGCTATGAGCCCGTCCACCCATCTAAGCATTAAAAAAAAAAAACGTCACCGAGGCCCTGAATTGCCATGCTTTAAGACATCTTTTTTTGCATGGAAACTAGCGACATCTTGTAGCGGATGCCTCTAAACTTATCGTTGTTAAAGTTAAGGTAATTAATTACTGTATAGCCGACTTAACCTATTAGGTGTATGGCTCTAATAAAGAATAAAAAAAAAATTACTGTCTAAACACAGTAAATAAAAAAATTAATAAATCATGCAAGTCTTTAGTTGTTATAGACATTGATTAAATTTTATCAATCTTTAGTTTCTGAATATTTACAAAATGCTTAATTAAAAAATATATATAGGATAGGTAATATGTTACTGCCATCTACAGGAGCAATGAGAAACTCATCGAAGCGAAACCATCTAGTGGCCGACGCCTGTAAACATTTTTGCTGAGTGCTTGAGTTGCTTATCTTTAACTAATTTATGTGTATTATCTATGGACATCACTGTTGCTAGGTACGGTACCGTACCGTACGTTCTTCCCGAAAGCCATTGGCGTCCTTCTTTTTCTGAAAGGCAATCCTCTTCTTGCGATGCCATTGTTGCCGGTGTCAACTTTTTTTAAATAAATAAAGGTTATTAAATTCAATTTGAGAAAATGGAGCGGAATAAGGTGAAATCGATTTATTGAAATATTAATTGAATAAAACAGCATGAGATTTTCATTTATGAAAGGATGTCCTTTTTTGGTCAGGAGGAAATCACCGGGGATCACCCTCCACTGGGGATGGAAGGCGGAGCATGTCAGAGTCGAACCAACAAAACCTCCAGTCGCTCAACAACCCACGACCGCACGTCCTTACGGATCCATCAGATCCAATAACCTTTGCATTAGATGCCTTCAGCTCTAATACTAGGGGCAGGCTTAGGGACCCCGGTAACCGTACTCGTCGAACTCGACAAAGAGGTCGACGTGCAACCTAACCCATGCATCAGCCCGCTGAGTTTCTCGCCGGATCTTCTCAGCGGGTCGCGATTCCGATCCGGTAGTANAAAAAAAAAAAAAAAAAAAAAAAAAAAAGGTAATATGTTACTGCCATCTACAGGAGCAATGAAAAACTCATCGAAGCGAAACCATCTAGTGGCCGACGCCTGTAAACATTTTTGTTGAGTGCTTGAGTTGCTTATCTATAACTAATTTATGTGTATTATCTATGGACATCACTGTTGCTAGGTACGGTATCGTACCGTACGCTCTTCCCAAAAGCCATTGGCGTCCTTCTTTTTCTGAAAAGCAATCCTCTTCTTGCGATGCTATTGTTGCCGGTATCAACTTTTTTAAAAATAAATAAAGGTTATTATATTCAATTTGAGAAAATGGAGCGGAATAAGGTGAAATCGATTTATTGAAATTTTAATTGAATAAAACAACATGAGATTTTCATTTATGAAAGGATGTCCTTTTTTGGTCAGGAGGAAATCACCGGACTTCCGCCCTCCACTGGGGATGGAAGGCGGAGGATGTCAGAGTCGAACCAACAAAACCTCCAGTCGCTCAACAACCCACGTCCGAATATCGCATGAGACAGAACTCATGAAAAGACAAAAAGTGGCGGGAAAATGAAGTGTTTAGTACGAAGCACATCTCTCCCATCACCCTCCCCCTCGGGACACAGGACCGGCGATCATCGTCGCCACGACCAGCCCTCTCGGTCGGCAGGCTATCCGAAGCCCGCGATAGAATGTCCTAGCAAAATGGTGGAAATTTACTGAGACTTAGTGGACTTTCTGGAAGAAACTGCAAAGCAACGTCTAGTGACTTACTTTTTTGCCCACACTCGTCCACTATAGCAGGTGCTAAATGGTTAATAATTCATAATTATTACACGTTTCATCTGAAGAAACAATAAATTAAGAATATAATACGATTCCAACAACTTTTCTCCTGGCGTTCCGGCCAAAAAATCATGTCCTTCTTCAAACTAGGATTATAACGAGTCGTCAGTAAAGGTCAGCAACTCTGTTGTGCCTCTGGCAATGCTGGCATCCATTAGTGACGGAGAATATTCATCATGCAGGTTAATTATTATTGCTCACATCTACTAAAATAAAAAGAATATTTAAGAACATAAAATCTAGTAAAATTAGATAAAATTGATTGATAAATTAATTTTTAATACTTTAGTAGATGGGCAAAAAGTTGAAGCATCTATTAAACTAGAGCAACTAGCTTTTAATTCTACCATTGAGGTATGGAGGATGGTAAGGAGTACCAACTCAGTCTATTAAAAAGTGTCCGCTGAAAGGCAGCCTGCTTCACTCTGTATATAACTGCTCTATTTATATTAGTGATAGTAATTGTTTTTATGATCGATCAATCACCAATAGTCGTCGAACAAACGATAATTGATCAAAATTAATTAATCTAAGCGATAAAAATAAAGATATCTAGTAAGGAGGGGCAACTTAAGGGTGATCATTTGTTTAAATAATTATAAATAAATAAAAGACGAACAAACAACTTTTACATTCGAATATTAGCGAACAAATGACGAATAAATAATTAAAAATAAAAAAAATCTGAAAATCAAAAAGAAGGTGGCGTGAGGTGATGGTATGCTTATTAGATATAAAATAATGAATAATTGGGAATTTAATTGTTTTTATGATCGAACAATCACCAATAGTCGTCGAACAAACGATAATTGGTCAAAATTAAATAATCTGAGCGATAAAAATAAAGATATCTAGTAAGGGGGCCCACTTAACGATGATGATTTGTTTAATTAATTATAAATAAAGAAAAAACGAACAATTCGAACATTAACGAACAAACGACGAACAAATAATTAAAAAAAAAACTGAAAATTAAAAAAAGGGGGGCTAAATTCACTGAGCCTATTAACTGTATTATCTAAGCCACGGTGTACATAAATTATATTGCCTTAATAAAAAAGAAGATTAAGAACTCTTTATGGAGTAGAGGTAAGGAGAACCGTCTCTGTGAGAAAAAGTGTCCGTTCAAATCTAAATCTGCTAAATAAGGGTGGCGCTACCGAGTAAATTTCAAAAAAAACGTTAATAGTTATTAGAATAAGATAGAGAAATAAAAAAGGAGGAAAGAACTGTAAGCACTACAAAATCACAAAAAGTATATTATTTAAAGCTGATAAGAAAATGCAATCGATGTCTCCACGTTTTACGACAGTAAAAGTTTTAGGTGATATTGACGAAATTAGTTTTGACTACGTAAACATGTGAGGTCTTGTATATTACACTGTCACTAATTACTCTAGTCATTAAATATACTTCTAATTCCTAACTCAGCATACTTCAATCAGTTAACAACTGCTCAATTCATATCATACCCTGTACCTACGCTAGCGCCATTCTGGAGGATTTTGAACTGTTATTTAGTGCTGAAAGTGGGACACTTTTTCAAGCCTCTCCCATATGACACGGTTCTCCTTATCTCTATCCTCCACAAAACTCTTAAAAAGCTTGGCTCGGTTAGTACCTATCTATCTACAGAATAGAATCGTAAGAGGTAATCTTGAATATTATATCTATGGACGTAAGTTTCACAAACTTCAAGATGTCTGATTAACGTTTTACAAACATACCAAAGACATCGGTCCATAATACTCTTAATCTGTAAATTCAATTACGACATATTTCATCAGATATTTCCCAACCATATATCGTTTCTCTGTATTAATTTAAGAATGAATATGAATCTGTGAGTAAACTAGTAGCTTATTAAACTAAGCAATGATCACAATGGTTTTAATTTAAAGCCTCTTAAAACATAAATATGAATGGTCTATACATGGAGTTGCCTTAATTCAAATGAAGTTTATTTAAAAATGTGGACTTCTATTTTGTAATTCATTCATTTGTTTCAAATATTGTTATTCGTTAGTAATCACTTGCATCAGTAAGTGATTTGTTTTCACTACATTTGTTCTTTTTCATCAATATGGACACGATAAAAATACGAGTAAAATTATGCAACAAGAGTTCCGTTGGGACAGTAACGTCGAACAAACGGCTGACGACTATAATCATAAACAAAAAAATAACGATTATTCCTTACTCTTTAGATTATAAATTATTTATATAATATAACCCCTTGCAGTTAGCTTATAATGGCCAATAAAACCAATTTAGTTATAAATTTTGTTAGTAGCGATCATTTCAGACATTAAGCAATGTATTAAAAGTTACATCTTCAATATCAATGTCTATATTAAAATAAAAATACAATAAGAATAAAATGCTAAGTACATGTATAATGTTCTAGTTGTAGACATATTACCGTGTGATGGAGTAACTTTCTGATTATTTGGTATCTTAGTAGACCACTATCAAAACTTAAGCTTTTTGGTACCTTGACTATAGAACACAGGATTTTATAAAACTTAATTTTCTCGAGAAAAAATAATGAATGTAAAGAAAACGAAGAAAATACACCTGGTAACCCTACTGTGTGTTGGTAGTGTTGGTATATAATAAACCGACTAAAAATACTCAAGACTTGGCCTAAAGGCCTAGATACCAGGCCATAAACTCCAAAAAAAAAGTAGTGTTGGTACTGTTGGCTGGTAGCACTGAAATTGTACTATTTCCGGAATCAAGAAGCTGTTGTTCGCGTCTGAGCACGTTGTAATTTATGCAAATAGTTGGTTTATTATGGATTTTGATTTTGATATTGAGTGATAAAATCGTCGATTACTTGCTAGTTCAACTTTGAATCATAGTTTATTATTGTTTATTGGGTAAGTGTACCAGAATTCCTATAAAAAAGAATTTGCGGCGCGGTTGGGCGCCATATTGTTGCATGATTAGCTTTCGTGTAGCGTGTCTTCTTCTATACCTTCACCATCTTCTATACCACGATTGAATATGTAGCAATGGCAAGCTTGAATTTAGACTCTTAAGTCCAAAGTTTTTTAATCGTTTGTTATGCATTTAAGTAGTGATCATCGAGTTGCATGTTGAAATTTACATTAAGGGTTTTTCTCACAGAGATCAAAATAAATCCAGTTCCGATTTAGTTGGGTGCAATCAGATTGGCTCCGATATATCATATGCTATATAAATTGATCATAGGACGCTTTTGAATAATATTATTAGCGTTATTTTTACAACATAACCTGAAAAAAATCGATAATTGAATGGCGCGGGAAGTGACGGTGTGCTTAAAGGCGGCACTCTCTAATAAGTAGCTCTGGAGTCGATAAGTCTAAAATAAATGTAAATTCGCACAAAATATTCATGATACAATATCGTGCCCATTAAAATAATATAAGATACTCTTGGTTAATTTTGGTCAAATTAGATTTATTTATTTATTTAGTAAGTAGGCTAATAAACTAATAACATGAGTATGTGTACCTCAAAGTAGTTAACGTATACAAACGGGCCATATATTTACAATATTTATTCTAAATATCTAGACGATAACCTGGTCAGTGGAGGTTATCAAAACACCCCACATTGTGGAACATTCTCAAATGATTGCCAGAAGATTCAGTTGAAATTAAAGAGTATTTAATAAATTTAAAACGTTTTTCTTTAGGTATATGCTTTTGCTACAAGCATGTGGATTTTATCACTGTTGGTGGTTACTTGAATCCATGAAGATGGAGACGCGAAGGCTATTAATATTCTCACTATAGGGTTTATAAACTGGTGCAATATCTACTTCATTTTGGTAGAAATGTTGCTTTAATTAAACTTATATTTGGTATTTGTCTGTTTTCACAGAAAATGGTTGGATCACGAGTGTATGTTGGTGGTCTCCCCTTTGGAGTAAGAGAGAGAGACTTGGAAAAGTTCTTCAAAGGTTTTGGAAGAATCAGAGACATACTTATCAAGAATGGATATGGTTTTGTTGTAAGTTTTAGTTTCTTTCACATACTTTATGGTAAAAAATATTGTTTAGAGTTTGTGATGTTGAATTAACAGTGGTCCCATCATATGAGAAAGTGCAAGGGGAATCTTTTGGTGGATAGGGCCCTAAAAATGTTGCGTCTGTGGTCCACTCCCAATATCTACATATAATCAAAAGCCAGATACACTAAGAAACCTCATGTATGAGGTTCGGCCTATAGCTTGAAGACTCACCTTTGATACCCACAAGTCTAGGTGGGCTGTGAATTTATTCAGATGTTTATCCAATATGTATGTATTATTTCATAAAATGTATATTAAACCATAATGATGGTTAGTTTAAAAAATATTTAAGCTTATCTAGAGACAAAAGTTACAACTTGAGTCCTGTTTTTTTTTTAATATACTTCGTAATTTTCAGGAATTTGAAGATTACAGAGATGCAGATGATGCTGTGTACGAGCTAAATGGAAAAGAACTATTGGGTGAAAGGTAACAAAAATAATTAATGAATAATTTATTTTATCAGTCAGCTCTACATTTTCTGTGAACTGATGAAATGAATGAGATGAAAAATATAATAAATTGGTCAATGTTATGAAATGAAATATTTTTAAAATGTAAAATTAATGCAGAAAGGGTGTTAACATTTTATGTCAAAATAGATTAGAAGCTGGATTATTGGTAATTTAAAATATGATAATATTACTATTACTTATTTTATCTTTATTAATAAATAGTCATTTAGTTCAGATTTATTAGTATTTGTGAGTTTAATTCTAGTAATGAAACTGTTAAATACATATTTCCAATGGTATCAGAATTTCGTAACAAGGTTACTGTGATAAGATTTTAAATTGTTATCATTGGGTTTGGAGCAACACATGACGTCTTTGAAGGCAAGTGAGATAACATGAATCTTGATCAATTTTAAGATTTTCGGTCGGTGAAAGAATCGGGGGCGGATCTAATAGTTTGCTGGATTTACGCAGGGTGGTGGTGGAGCCAGCGAGGGGCATCGATCGCAGCGCTGACCGGTACCGGCGCGGCGACCGGCACTACGAGCGCTCCGGCGGCGGCCGCTCGCGATACGAGTGAGTGTCAGCTCTGTCGCTCTGTTGTAGGGTGATGTAGCGACAAGAACCCTCTGTATACACTATCCGCCTGCAAGCCAGAATGGAAATACAATTCCAAACATGCATGTTTATTAACAACATGGTAATGTTTGACATTGCTTTTGGTCGTTTAATATCATATGTATAACAATTAACTATTGTCTTTTTACTGTACATTTGATTAAAACAAATTGATTTAAAATAATATTTATCAACATGATAAATCTATTAACTAAAGGCAAATGTCCTTGTCTGACTATTTGATAAAATTTGTTTACTTCAACTAAATGTATGAAGATTTTTTCCATGTTGTATGTAAATTCACAACTCTTTCTTCATGACTTTTTTAACCTACCAAATGCTTGTCTATGGTTAGTGTATAACATACACTGTTATTTGTTTCCTAGGATGTACCTAATGAAAATACTATAAAAATATAATAATTGTATATAAGAAGTTATGTACAATTGCCTGCCTGACTTCACTGCTTTGCATAAAACTGAAAATATAGTTTTGTAGAGTTCAAAAATATTTTAAATTGAGGCAACATTATTTCTGGGTGACTGAATGTAATATGTACCTATAAGATACTTAAACTGGAAAGTCTTTGTGCCAGTGATTTTATATGAATTTTATGTCCACTTAAATGGCGTTTATTTTTTTAAACAACGACATAATAGAATTATCAAGGTCTAAAAGAAATATCTAGAAGTTTCAAGATAAGATATAAATCCAAATATCAAATTTGCAGAGATATTTTAATACTGTTTTAAATACTACTTTTTCTTTTGACCTCTTGATGACTTGTGAAATTTATTATCACGACTGTAAAATTAACCTGGAATGCATCCAGTTTAATTTTTGGTTTTGATCTATAATTTACAGTGATGACTACAATTATAGATACGGACCGCCAACGCGCACCGAGTATCGACTTATCGTCGAGAATTTGTCTAGCCGCATTAGCTGGCAGGTAAGCACCCTGCAAATGGATTACGTATCATCATTCATCACACATCACCAGGGTCGTGGCGCGGGCGCGGGCTGCCGAGGACACTGCATACTGGACCAGGCACCTACAACATACCCTAACTGGAAAATGAATGAGCATTGGACTGGACCAATGGACCGATGGACTACTGAGCTTGGACATTTGATGGAACGCAAGAAGCATACTCACAATAGGCCAAAGAAAACAAAGATCCTCAGAGAAGATCTGCTGTCATTGAAACTTGCTGATGGTTTGGACTGATATCTGGTGGAGACTTTAAACAAAAACGCATACCACAACGCACTGGGCACTCGAGGGCCGTTCGGGAATCTGGACCACATCAATCTAATATTTAACACAATACTTATCACTTGCTTTAATAATAAAAGATCAAAAGTTCACAAACCGTAGAGACATACTTAGTTTAAACATGACATTTGCTAAAGTTTGCATATAATATAATGTTAAATTGTAATCTAGTATCAGAGTTGCCTTCGAGCTTATGGAATGATTTTTAAAAACAACAGAAGGTGGCCAGTCCGGTCGATGTGCGTTGCGCTGTGTGATGTGGTCTCAGGCGATGTAGAGTTGCGCCGCGTCGTCCGGCGCCCGCATGCGAGCAGCCCGCCAGGTAATGTCGGGGCTACACCAACCGATGGACACAACCGACATCACAACACTTACATTTTAAGTATATCTTTTATTTTACTGCAGTTCACAATGTTCTATATTATAAAAACTATTGTGACTTTCAATTTTGTTTACATGAATCGTTTTGCGTTTTTCGTCTGCGCTGACTTGATGGTATTATTGCTTACATTGTCAAAGGCAATTACGGAATGACAAGGCCACTGAACCAAGAAGATTTTCAAAGGAGAGACAGGATCAAAGAATGAATCTAAAGATTTGTTATGAAGTCAATCCAATATGAAACTAATTTCCGAAGTTGCGCATCGGACCAGGGTCAAATAGCGAACTGAAGAAAATGCTACTTTTAGATGTTTATATGGAGAGTCCAAACAAGTCCAACCCAGAAGGAAGTGTCCACCATCCGAGGCTAGTGACTGTAGCTGGTGCAGGAAGTGACTAGAGGCCATGTGATGACTGAATCTGTGACTCATGATGAATATTGCCTTTAAAAGGATGAAGATATCCAGGGAGGAATTCAGAGCCAAAACATAATAATGAGAATCGAAAAGCAAAATAAAGGACATTGCACATATGAAAATGTGACATTTCTTAACATGTAAACAATAATACCTATTAGTAATCGCATACGAAAATACTGCATTACTTGCCTTTCATATTCATATCCATTATGTTAGTTAATTTCAGGAATGTATTGTAAATCGTATACTATTCATAAGATTTTTCGTATAAACAATAATGATGATATTTTATTTTAACCATCTTTCGGGGCTGAAAGTCTTGATGATACTATAATATTCTGATGAAGACCGAAGAAACAATTTATTCTTTTGATACAAAACAAAAAACTAAATGAAGTCTTCATTTACAGGATTTGAAAGACTATATGCGTCAAGCTGGCGAAGTGACTTACGCTGACGCCCATAAACAACATAGGAATGAAGGGTGAGAATATTTTCTTCTTAAATACCCAAAAATTAAGCAAAAGCCAAATTTCCACAATATTTCAGTTACTTTGTTGACAAAGAACATTTGATTTATTCTCTTTTTGGTATTTTCATTCTATGAATTACTAAGGAATACTGTACAATGGTTGTGGTAGGACCTCTTGTGAGTCCGCACGGGTAGGTACCACCACCTTGCCTATGTCTGCTGTGAAACAGTAATGCGTTTCGGTTTGAAAGGTGGGGCAACCGTTGTAACTATACTTGAACTTATATTTCAAGGTGGATGGCGCATTTACGTTATAGATGTCTATGGGCTCCAGTAACTACTTAACACCATATGGGCTGTAAGCTCGCCAATCCAAGAAATAAAAAAAAATCTAAATAATATTTCTTGATGTTTAGGGTTTTTTTTTGTACTTTACATACAGAAAACTTTATATCGTTTGGCAGTTTGGTTGTCTAGGTTTTCATTTTTGCGATGAGACGATTGCAGTCATTAGCTACTTAGACACATTAGCTAATTAATTTATTTACCAACAGTGTGGTAGAATTTGCGACGCACTCGGACATGCGGGCCGCCATTGAGAAGCTGGACGGTACGGAACTGAACGGACGGCGCGTGCGACTCGTGGAGGATCGAAGGTCGTCGCGCCGGCGCACGCGCTCCTCGTCCAGCCGCTCGCGCTCCCGCTCCCGGGACAGGAGGCGCTCGCGATCCAGGTAACGCGATAAACGATCTTAACTATACTGAAGGTTTTTTTTTTTATCTTTATCAATGGAAATTCTGTTTTTAAAGCATTAATGGACGGGATGTTAAAGAAATGTATATATTAATACTTTGTATCCCTTTTACGAATATTGCGCGGACGGAAAATTCCCACACTTATAGGAGAAAATACAGGAGTGCAGAATGCTAATAATTTTTTAAATTATGCATAAAAAATACATTAAATCAATAAAAAAAAACATTACACACTACCGTACCGTGATGCGTGTGTGCATTACACACACTACCGTACTGTGATGTGTGTGTGCATTACACACACATGCATCTCTTTTGTTTTTTTTTTTATTTGAATTATGAAGAAGAAAATATTATAGAAGTTTAATAGTCTTTGACAATAGAACCATAATAGTGTTCAAACTTATAATGTCAATTAATTATAGTCGAATTTCGACTACTGCGGGGACCACTAGTTGACATCAACATGCGTTATCATTGCTCGACTTATGGCTTACAAACTGTGGTACATCAGGGCTTGAATAAATGGAAATGTTCAATGCATTTAAAAAAAACTCATGAACGGCATGAGAGAAATACTGACACGTTATATTTTTTTAATGATGATACTATATATTTACCATCTTTCGGGGCTGAAGAGTCTTGATGATAAAATTCTAACTGAGGAACAAACGAAAGTATAGTGTTTGTTCTAGAATAGGACATTATTATTAATACTATTGAAATTTCAGATCACGCCGTTCATCTCGTTCTAAATCTAGACAGAAGAGCAAGAGCCCTGCTGCTAAATCTCGGTCTAGATCGCGTTCCAAGTAAGTAGTCTTCTTAAACTTACGGTATATTATAACTATGTACAACTAATGCTATTAGATAAAAATAATATAACATTATCGAGCCAATGCGTGTCTATTGTGACTATTTATAATTATTTGAAATCCTATGAAATGTAAGTACTAAGGCTAGATAATGTATAATAAATAATAAGCTACCAATATGTTGCACCATAAAAGAAAATAAATAATATTCATTATCACCATAGAGTGTACATGTGTAACAGCTTCAGTTTTAACTCTCATCTGTATGACTCATCTAATCCAAACAAATGAATATTTCTAAATTTTAAAAAAAATAAAAAAATTAGAGACGAAACAGGGTTGCATGTTTATATGTTAAACTAATTGAAAATTACTCCCACAATGGATAGCGAAATCCTACATGGATAGTGAATAAAATTAACACCGTGTTCTATTTGGCTAGGTGTGTTGTAACATGTGCTGAGCAAAATTTAAAACTGTAAGTATTTAGCCTTATGCTACACGAACACTATGTTTCACGTATTTGTAAACTTGTTTATTGTATGTAGTTAGTTGATTGCCATGAAGTGGGTCCTCATGATGGCAATGTATTTGATTGCATTTGTTGGATCCAATAATTATAATCTAATTAAGAAGGCAGACGAGCATATTAATATGTACTAGCGGCCCGCTACGGCCTCGCTCGGGTCTTTAACGAAAAATTCAACGTTTTATTTTCTAAAATAAAAGAACACTTATTGCGGCATAATTATAATAGTTAGATATATGCTGTCGCGACACTTTCTGTAAATAATAATGTGTTCTACAAAGTCGTAGTACATTATTTTATTCTATCATCACTAGTTTTCGCAGGGCACGCGATGTAAAGAATGTTTTAGGTAATTTTTTTACACCTCGGGTTACACTATTGGAGTTTTAGTAAGGATCCCTAATTATTTTTCAAAAAAGATTATAGTCTATGTCACTCGGAAATCAAAATAATTAACATATATGTACTTAACCAAACGTGATCATCTAAAAATGGTTTTTTAATTTTTAGCTACATCAATAAGTTGCTTGGTGTGTGGTTTGCACAGAAGATATCACTAATTTTGTTTTATCACTCAATCCCATTTGATTGTTGAGATTTTTATTATCTTTTGTCACACAGAATAACATGTAATGTGTTTTGATTTTACTAATTATTGTTAATTTTACTTGCTTAATTACTTTATCATTTACAGAAATTTTATGTGAATAATTAATCGTAGTAGGGCTAATTTTTTTTATAATAGAACATGTCAAAATAATACAAATTTAACAAAAAAGAAAATTTACCTAAAATCCGAATATCATCAATGTAGTCAGAAGGCAATTGAAATATGTATTACTAAAGATAACTTTGGGGAATTAACGAAAACGGCGAGTCAGAACTTTACTTATATTGGGACCAGATGAGAAGCATCAAAAAATAAAGAACTATCAAAAAAACTAAAAAAAAAATTAGAGTGAAAAAAAACACACGTAATAAAAAATTCAGTTGAATTTAGATCTTCTCCTTATTTTGTAGTCTGTTAATTGAAAGTACTCCAACAGCAAAGTAATGTGAATCTGTTTGTTGTCATCTATACTATATGTTTTTCGAAAATCAAATTTTCTTTTTCCTACCTAAGCTGAGAGCCTTGAGAGGTTATTTCAGCGCAACCTTAACTAGTAGGTGAGCTCACGGGGCTCAATCCTGACGACGTTGCCAACACGAACCCTAGAAAGAGCCGTGCTTCGCAGAATCTACCATAGGGTCGGAAACGCGACCCACTGGGAATATCCGGCGAGAAACTCAGTGGTGTCTGTGGGTTAATTTACGATGACCGGGAAAATCAAATCTAATACATTTCCTATCTTTAGTGGCCGTAACAAAGACGAGGAGGGTGGGGGTCGCGGACACCGCGCCGGCAGCCGCTCTCGCTCCCGCTCCCGCTCGGAGCCCGCCCACGCCGACCGCAACGGGCGCCGCTCCGACGACCGCTCCAAGTCCCGCGACATCAAAGCCGACTCCAAGTAAGTCACTTGTGCTCTCAATCTTACGCGATGCATGACGACCGCGCCTCTTACTCTGGTGAGTTTTGTTTCGGTTTTTTTTTTGTTTTGGAAACTATGTCTCGTTCGTGTGCTTAAGATTTTATCTTAACATACAATACCGCTTGCTATACATTTTGTATGAAGATAATGTATTACGAAAATATATATTATCTTAACCATGTGTGATAGTTCATACAAAATGTATAGCAAGCTATATTGTATGTTAAGATAAAATATTATAGTATCTTCGCCGTGCGTGACGCCCTTAACTGTTTGTATCACAGACGACCTAAAATCAATGTCGTTTCACGAGAGGAGCATATTCTCATCACTTGATAAACTATACTTTTGGGTGTTAATTTTACCCATATTGTTCGTTATGCTTATTATTGATTATACGACACGTTGACAGCACAACATAAAAATGTTTTTTATTAACTCTCTCTCCATGTTATGCTGCGTCACAAAGAGAAGTGGCCGTCGAGAGGTGAGCGTTTCAGTACACTGTATATGTGTAGAATAGTCGTATTTGTAATGTAGGCAACCGCTTTATATCTTGCCTATTTATTGTTCTTCTTCGTGTATGTATCACGCAAGTCGACGAGCAAATTATTTAAGGATTTATTTATTCAATGTTTATAGGCGCCTTCATTGATTCCTTGATGTTTTTTTTAGTTAATTATACATTTAAAAGAAATTGCAACAAGTCATGAAGTTTCAGTGAATCATGATTTATTAATTAATTTAAATAATGAAAGATATTTTGTAGAAAATTTTTGAAAATTGATTTTTAAACAATTCAATATTCCTATTTTAATACGCTTTTGTAGCTTCAGACGTCTGTATGTTTGTAACGGAATTTTTGAACATGATTTTGACCCCCTTCAAAATGTCGAATTAACTCGAAATTTAGTATACTTTGAAGGACCGATGACAATACAATATTTAAAAAAAAGAATGAAAAAATTGAAATTCAACTTAAAAATTAAACGCTTTTTTTACAATAAAATCATTTTTCTTACACTATTTATTCAAATCTATTTTCTATAAAAGCGTATTTTGTTAGTTTTTTAAACTATTATTTATTTCTTTGAGCTCAATGCAGTATATTGTATATATTATGTTAAATTGTCTAAATTGTCTATTCAACAGGGAGAGATCTCGGTCTCGCAGCAAGGAAGCGTCCCCGAAACGGGAGGAAGAGCGTCGTCCGACCAAGTCCCGGTCTAGGTCTCGGTCTCGCTCCCGGTCCAGGTCCGTGTCCCGAGGCCGGTCCGTCTCGCGGGACCGATCCGGATCCCGTTCTAGGTCCAGGTCTCCAAGACAAAACGGCGAAGCTCAGGACCGCGACGGAAGCACGGACCGCTCACCGCGTAGTGGTGATTAATATTAAACTTACAACGATAGCAATTAGCCTTGAAGATGAATACTTTTTTGATTTAATTGAAAGTTCCATATCGTGACTGCGATGTTTGCGTTTACTAAACATTTCGTCTCGCATTAAAACTGTATAATCTCAAAACTTACTAAATTTTACAGGAGAGTGTTTTAAAGGTTTAACATAATATGATATTTTTAATATTAATCATCTTTGCAACATTTATTTTTTAGTTTTTACCAGTTCATTATCTATCTTTGAAAGTAAGATAAAATTATGTATTAATTTTGTTAATAGTAGTCAAAATATAAGTAAACTAAAAAAATAATCTAAAACTAAACTACGCTCTTTTGACCGTATTTATGAGAGAAATACTGGTGATACCAAATGATTCCGCATATTAACTCAATTTCGAATATTTTTCGAAATTGTACACTTTTAATGCGAAAAGATGATTTATTGTCTTGTGAAAACACAATGACGTTAGTTTTATCTTAGTAATACATTTATTTGTTTGAAATATGAAATTGCACGCAATGTGTTTTACATATTTTTATTGTAACGTAGGTAGGTAGGTAGGTATGGCGAGGTTACTGTACATGGCGGGGCCCGCTTAGAGTCACGGTTGTCATATTAAGATTTCAAAGCGCACGGTTTGCGATTCACTCTTCGTCACTCATTTGTCACTTAATATATAATAAATAATAGTTTTAATTATTATTTCTTTGCGTTAATATTTTCAGTTTTATAAATAAGTGTGGTATGTAATTGACCCTCGTTTACTAAATGTAAATCAAGTTTGAAACGGACTTAAGTTACATAGACAAATAAGTTAATTTGTAAATAGTGGATTTTTATTAACCAAATAAATGAGACGATTCAGAATTTTTGTTTCATTTGAAATCACGTTTCCGCTATGAATATATGAAAATACAGGAAAGTATTATTTACAGGGCAATTGTATGCCCGTTATATAGGTAGGTGTATAAAAATATTTTTATAGGAAAATTACCCAAATTTTTACCTTTTATCATTCTCCGTTGATGAGATTTCGTAAAGGGGAATGGCCATTTCGGGCCCAAAGCGGACAATAGATTAGAGAAAAAATACTTAGTGCATTAATTTTGTCATAAATAAATATGCATTTACTTTCTTCCAAATGAGCGCCACTACAGTTTAGAATAAGTAGTTTAAAAAAAGTAACTATTGAAAAAACAAGGTTTTTGATTTTTGCGGGAAAAATATTGCCAGTATCAAAACCTTTTACGTATTAAGTAAAAATTTTAAGTATTATCATTGATCAATCGATTATAAGCACATAAGATAACATCAAAGACATACCCATTGGACTTAAACTTGTAAGTATACTTGAGACCTTAGAACTTATATCTCAAGGTGTACGTTGTAGATGTCTGTGGGCTCCAGTAACCACTTAACACCAGGTTGTCCGTGAGCTCGTCCACCCATCTAAGTAATAAAAAAAACTACTAGTATTGCTATTTAAATATGTGCAACTAAAACGAGAACACAAAAAATAAAAAATAATGTATACTCGTAAAAAAAAGATCAAGGAAAATAAATGAATTATCGGTTATTTAAAAAAATAATCGATATATGAATTTAATGTAATTATTTTTAGTTATACTGACAACACTGAATTTAATCTGACCGACGGGTTTTTTTTTTTGGCAGGAACGCGAGGAGTGAAGTTGTGTGATTTGTTTTATTTTGCCTATTTAGTGTTTAGGAAATATGTTGTCAACTGTCGTCGTTGCGGATTAAACTCAAACTGCAGTATAGGAAGCACTTATTTATTCCACACGCACCTTAAAATCGTATACATTAACAATCAATTGGTTTTTATCCTTTGAACCTTTTAAAAACGTAAAACACAAATTTTATCTCATGACATTTTTCCCTCAATCTGACAGCCTGTCTTTCTTTTCTTCCGGACGTCTCCCGTTGTTAATCTGTGTGTGAAAAACTATTCACCACACCACACCCCCACGGAGAAAGATACGCCAGTTGAGAGCCCTTAATCAAAATTGTCACTATACTCTTAATATTACGCATAATTAGGTATACGTGCGAATGTATTACAAGAATAATTGTATAAAACGAAGAGTTATAAGTGAAAATTACAGGTAACAAGTAACAAGTACAAGGTAACGATAGGTAACAACAGGTAACAAGATACAAGTAGTTCTTATAAATCAGTAATTTTTTTAAATCTGACACGTCTGCCTGAGCGTGTGGTATAAGGCTCTTTTGTTTTCTCACCTTGAATTTTTATTGGAACTGACAGCGGCCTTGTTGGCAGCGGCAACAGCGGCGGATTTTCCAGATCCATTGGTCGTAAGGCTTCATTTTGCTGACAAGACAAAGGCTCAGCTTGCTTCCGTTCATCATCAATGTGATCTATGAAAGCCGGCTTAAGTCTGTCTACACTCACGACAACTTTGTTATTTTTTATGGACAGTGTGAACGTTTTCCCATCAGGGGAGCGTTCTAATACTCTATATGGACCTGTATATGGCGGCTGCAATGCCCTGCGGATGGTATCGTCTCTCAGGANATGGTACGATAAACGAATCTTTTGGTTATATTCAAAATTTTCAGTATGTTAAAAATTTGAATTGGCGCGTAACCGCAACGATGCAACGCAATAACTGCAACACGGTCTTCTTTAAGCGTCCACTCCATATTTAAAAATGAGTAAAATTCTAAAAGTATACATTTTTATTTTCATGAACAATTCGAAATTCGAATTCAATGAACTTTTTTGTGGCCAGCATTCTAAAAGAAAAGTTTTTACTGTGTGACAATACTTATGACCTGACTAGTTATATACGTACTTATGTATATAATATGTACGTACTTCTGCAACCACAAAATCAATTAATTCCTGTTCGGTAACATTAAATCCTGGGCGCTTTACTATAAAGGCTGTTGGCAGTTCATCGTACTCTGGATTAGGTTTTCCGACCACACCCGCCTCTTTCACTGCAGGATGGAGTAACAGGATAGTCTCTAGTTGCGTGGGTGGAACCTATAAAGCAATAAGGTTAAAAAAAAATCTAGAAAGCAACCTGTTTTAAATATCAGTTTTAATTTCTGAATCTTACTTAGAATTAAGTTATTACAAATCAGTAAGTATCCCGATAGCTATACTCTTTATTATGGTTTTTAGAAATATTGACCTTTATATTATATACCATCATCTAAATTTGACCAATATTTGCCATTGATAATTAAAATGTTTAGTTTTAGTAAGTTTAATAAGTAAAATGTTTAATTTGTACATGTCAGAATGAAAAAAGAAAATCTAAAAATAAAAAAAGCACGCTTTAGTAAGGAACCGAGATAAAAGTTAAAATAATCAAACTAATAAAATTATTGTTTTGTCATCGGTCTTTGACACGTGTGCAAAATTTCAAGTTAATCTAACGTTACAAATTTCGTTACATATATAGACCAAATTAGTGAAAGAGTGCTAAAAATGGGGAAAGTACTGGATTGACCTACCTGGTCTCCTTGATATGAAATAATTTCCTTTAATCTATCGACAATGTAAAAGTATTTGTCTTCGTCGTAATAACCTAAGTCCCCCGTTTTGAAGAAACCTTCCTCGTCTAGGTAAATTGAAGGGTCTACTCCTATGTAACCCTTCATAAAAACAGGTCCTTTAAGGCAAATTTCGCCACGACGATTTGCGCCCAGTACTTGACGGGTTTCGGGATCTACAACCTTCGAATAAAATATTCTATTTCAGATATTATATCAATATCACGAAGTGGCTGTGAATGTAGCAAAGACTTAACATAAAATATCGCAAGGACTGATCGAGCGCATTCAAGGTACATAAAATATTTCTCAAAACCTACGTTAAACGGGCTTGTAATGGTATCTACAGTGTGATTACAGTAATTGAGTTCGGATTGGATTCGGATCGATATTCGATGCGTTCGGATTGTCGATAATCCTAATCTTTCGAATTGTTTAGAATCTCTGCGTCTACAGATTAAACTTTGGTTCTCTTTGTATTTTATACCTTATAGGTATAAGGATTACTATTAGGATTAGGATTAGGTATATTAGAGGTTGAATAAGCACAGGTTTTTGATAGGTGATTCCGATATGGCCATTTTGTCATTCCATCAGCTTATCATACCTTAAATCATTTTCATTCTTTTTCAGAAAACTCTGCGCTCATTTAATTATTCGTCAATTATTATTTCTCTCTGGAATAAACTCGCCTTCACAATCCTTCCCAAGTTCTACAGGCCCGTTACATAAAAGAGGTTTTAAAAGAGTATTCCGCAAGAGTAACCAGCAGCATGCCTATGCCCGTAACAATTATTGATGACCATGAACAGGGGTGGCCACTCTCCATTAGATGCGTCGTATACTCGTCTGGTTTCGAAATATAAGTCATAAGTTGCAATTTAGGAGATTTAAAATTATTCAATCAAAGTGTTTATAGTTGCTTCGCGTCGCTCTTTTATACATAGTTTTTAGTTGAAGCTATAGTGAAAAATACATAGTACAATATATGTCTCTGAAGCCGCGCCGGCATGATCATGGCCGTATCACAGTAATTTTGATGTATCTGGAACCTTTTTTTTATATTACTTAGATTGGTGGACGAGCTCACAGCCCGCCTGGTGTTAAGCGGTTTTTTTTTTTTTTTTTTAATTAGTCACCCTTCATCACAGGGCGTTACTGTTTCCCCTAACATAGGTCAGAGTCTTTTTACATCCGATTCGTATTTAGATTTTAACTTACACCCTATCCATTCTACTCCTTCTTTGGGAGATCCTACTTTGGCCTACTATTATTTATTTTATCTTTATTAATATTTCGTTACTGACTACTAACAATATTTCATCTTATTCTAATAAATCCCACCTGTCTTATATATATTTTATTATTAATCTATGTCCATTGTTGCCATATCCTTATTTCTCTTACTATTTCATTAACCTACTTATATCTATTACATGTTTTCTTGTTCTTTTTGCACATCTTACGTTTTTATTGTTACTAATAATATATACTATTTTATTATATATTTTAGTAATCATTTACTGCTTATTTCTATTTATTACTATTCTAATTACTTTTTTACAATATTCGATCAATTTGCTTCTATTTTTCTTATCTGCTAATATCAATGGTAGGTTTCTTACTTCTATATTTAAATCTATATGTTGTTCGGTGTCAAATCTTTCTTTTGCATGCACTGGACATTCTATCAGCACATGCACAATGCTTTCTTGGTTTACAGGATCACAAACACACGCCGGGCTCTCTTTGCACCTAAATCGATGTAGACACTGTGAGAGCCCGCCGTGTCCCGTGAAAACCTGTGTGAGTGTGGAGTCTACCTCAAGCCTTCTTATTATGCTATAGGAGCTTTTTACATTCGGAAAGAAAATCTTTGTGACCGATGCCGTACTTTCGGTTGTGTAACGTAAGTCCCATTCGTCGACAGACCCCTGTCGGATGGTTCTCTTGGCGAACGAGACCGGGCAGCGATCATAANTATCGACAATGTAAAAGTATTTGTCTTCGTCGTAATAACCTAAGTCCCCCGTTTTGAAGAAACCTTCCTCGTCTAGGTAAATTGAAGGGTCTACTCCTATGTAACCCTTCATAAAAACAGGTCCTTTAAGGCAAATTTCGCCACGACGATTTGCGCCCAGTACTTGACGGGTTTCGGGATCTACAACCTTAGAATAAAATACTGCCCACTGCTGGACATAGACCTTCTCCAATGCCTGCCACATAATGCAGTCCTCCGCCTTCCGCATCCAACGACTTCCCGCCGTGCGCACTAAGTCATCGATCCACCTGCTTGCTAGCACACAATCTTCTTATCAGCCCATGGACGTACACTGCTGGACATAGGCCTCCCCCAAGCCTCGCCACTAAGACCGGTCCTGCGCTGCCTGCATCCAGCGGATCCCCGCGAACCTCAATAGATCGTCGGCCCATCTTGTGGGAGGCCTACCGACGCTACGTCTTCCAGTACGCAGTCGCCACTCAAGAACTTTCTGGCCCCAACGGCCATCCGTTCTGCGAACAATGTGTCCTGCCCACTGCCACTTCAATATCGCAATCCTTTGGGCTATGTCGGTTACCATGGTTTTCCTGCGAATCTCCTCATTTCTGATTTGATCTCGCAGGGAAACTCCGAGCATAGTCCTCTCCATTGCTCTTTGGGTGACCTTGAGCCTTCTCGTAAGGCCCATTGTGAGCGATTCTTGGGATTATCCAGAGAATGGGCAGCAGCGTTCTCCGAGTATCATAACAACACACTGCGATCGCCAACCCGCATGCCAAACGTGGCGATTATGGCAACCCCCCACCAACATGGCTGACACAAATAGCACACAATACGATATAATAATTGCACATATTACTTACTTAGAAGGTAGACTGCTTAGTATACAATTCATGTGAGTTAATTGAACTCCTTTCGGCATACCAGTAGTGCCTGATGAATATAATACAGCTGCTGTATCTATTTGTCCTTGAACCGGCGTCGGTTCAAACAGATCCACATCGACATATTTGGAAGCTAAACTTTTTATGGAAACCACACCCTCGCTGTTGTCTTCCAGAGTGAAGTACGTTTGTATGCAGTCAAAACTCTTTAAGACGTTGCTGTACGTCAACCAAAACTTATTTGAATAAATAAAATATTTAGGTTTCACTACACTTAGTTTGTGTTTTAACGAGGCTGCAAGAAAATTGTAAGGATTAGTGAAAGTGATTTTGTTACTTGAAAATATAATTACGCGTTTGTTAATGGATAGAAGTAGCAATTATGTACTATTATGGTGGGGTTTAATTAATAGGTAAAAGCTGAAAAAGAAGTGAGTGAAATAGAACTTTAATTTGATTTCCTCCATAAAAATAGCATTAATTCTATCCTGTATGAATTACTGAATTTTAAGGACTTATAATTTTACCCAGAACACCATAAAATATGAAAGAACTATGAAATTCTCTTAATTCAAAATTATTTAGTTCTAGATGGGGAAATTTTATTTGCCCCAGTGATAACATTCCAGAATAATTAAGATCATAGTGATTTAATTATTTCCTGGCGACACTGGTACAAAATGCAAATATACGACTAGACGATTTCTGCTTGATAATAGTCTTTCCAACTATCAATCAAAACATTATGGTATTCTGCTCACACCTACTACCACTTCATCCCATCATTTATCTACTTAACACTGCCCTTGATTTCAATCATGAGTCCTAAGAATACTGTGTGTGATGTACCTACCAACTTGGATGGTGTTCTGGCGTATTCGCTAGTTCAATACTTGGTTAAATTTTATCAGTGCAGATGGATAAACGAACTCACGACCCGTTTGGTTGTAGCCAGGTTCCGAAGCCCATAGATGTAGCAAACTGATTGCCGTCATCCTCTTTCATACATAAGGTTGAAATCTTAATTATTGTATTGTATATATGGTAGGCAGCGGCTTGGCTCTGCCCATGGCATTGCTGACGTCCATGAGCGACGGTGACCACTTACCATCAGGTGGGCCGTATGCTCGTCTGCCAACAAAGGCTATAAAAAAAAAAACTATTGTAAGATATTTGGCTCAGCATCAACTATGGCGTAAGCTTGGGAAACGCTCATCTACAATTAGCTGAGATGGTGTGGTGCGATTACTTGTTCTTTTTCAAAATACTTGGTTAGCGAGCCTTAAGCGGCAGGTTGCGCTTTAGCTGTACCCGTGATATTGGTTACGCTCATGGGCGACCGTTGGGTGGACCGTGCTCGATGTCATGAACACCAGTAAAAATGTCGGATTAAAAGGTGAAGAATGATGCTTAATGCTGATGCATAATAATGATTTCCTCAGCTCATGATAAATTATTCTCGAAATACTATTTCATCATGTAACCGTCTGGTCTGAATTTACCTTTTCCAACTTTCAGATCGTAAGGTGTATAGGTGGCTCCAGTCAATACAATTGCAAGCAAAGTCGGAACAAATTCATTGTGTTTTTCCGACCCGAGTGCCACAGTATCTCCTGTTCCGACTCCAAGGCTCGTCAAAGACGCGGAAAGGTTCACAACATACTGTGCGATTTCTTTGTACGATAGTTTTTCACCTGTATCAGCATTTTCCTGAAGAAAACACACACTGTTAGTTTTTTGTATTGTTCATGAGTGTCGTCTCTTGCTAAATAGGCGAGTTTGCTCAGCTAAGCTAAGAAAAATAATCGCATGAAGCAGTAAGAAAAATACTGATATTTAATTTAAGGAAGCTTTTAGATACTCACTATTGCAATTTGGTCATTCCACTGTCGGATATGTTCCAACATGAATTGCCCAAAATTTAAATGTGCCGGTACTTGAACGTTTTTATCACCAAACACAAAATTATAATTATACGGCATTTTAATGTAGATTTTAAATCACAGAGAAGAGAAATAGAATACTGGTAATTTTTTTCCAATTAGAAACGACTTGAAACAAGTTATTGACGTAGAAAACAAAACGTGACTCCACACTTGCGAAAGAAGCGTGTTTATAATGCACAACTGTAAATTGCAAATAATGTTTCTCGAGTAATTTAAACAAAATGTTTATCTATGATAATCTTATATTTATTTAACATACATAATTTTCGCAGTAATTGTTCTTTTCTGAATGTATATTTTAAATCAACACTCTTTTAATTTGCATGTTAAATATCATATAACATGTATTATTTATGACTTTTGGAATAAACTTATAGCACGATTCTTAAGTCGTCTTAACTACACAGCAAACTGAGCTGAGAATTTTTTTTTAGCTACGGGATTATGAAGTTGTCTAAAAATATCTTGTCGTTATGCTTTTTTTTTTTTTTTACCTAAACTGGTAGCCTGGAGCGGCTATTCCAGCGTAACCGTAATTAGTAGGTGAGCTCACGGGGCTCAAATCTGACGATGATGCTAACACGAACCCTAGCAAGAGTCGTGCTTCGCAGAATCTACCACCGGATCGGAAACGCGACCCACTGAGAAGATCCGGCGAGAAACTCAGTGGGCTGTGTCTGAGAGTTAATTTACTCGTCGAGCCCGCCGTCGCAATCGACGGGTTCGACGAGATCGGTGACCGGTGCTTGAAGTACCTAGAAGCACTGTTAGTGGATCGGGAGGATCCGAGATGACGTGTTTTGGGCGACGTCGACTGCTTTCCATTCGTCCGCAGGATCGGGAATGTAGTTACCGGCGGCCACGATGAGAGGGTTCTCGTGTCGTGCCGCTTTATCGAAGTGGCGCATCGACGCCGACTGTAGACACTTACTGATGGACTCTAAGTCCAGGTCGTCATGGAGGTCGACGTTCCTGACGAACCACGGGGCTCCGACGGCTATCCTGCAAAAACGGGATTGAATAATTTGGAAGGATTTTAGTGAGTGCAGGCCGCGTGAGCGAACACTACACTTGCATATGTCATGACGGGGCGTATGCAAGTTTTGTAGAGTGTTACCTTATTTCTAAGGGACATTTTACTTCGCCTGCATATCATCGGGTAGAGACGTCCTAGAATGAAGGCGGCACGATCGCGTACCGTCTTAATATGGGGGCGGAATGTCATCCTTCTGTCGAGGGTGACGCCTAAATAATTGACCTTCGGGGCCCACGGTATGGGCTGGATGCATGTGTTCTAGAATGTTCCAACATAGAGCCCGGGCTATCAAGAACAGACTAACAGGATTGAATGAAACAGTTTCTTTACTACGTGGACTTTAATAATAATTGTGTCAAGAATTAAAATCAAATGGAGAACTTTTCTCATTTTATGGGACAAAGTCATTAGGCATACGACGCAAATTAGCTGACATTATATTCTTACGTAGCTTGTTTATAATATAAAAGATTTTTCTGATATAGTTGAACTGTTATAGTTAAATAAATGCATCGAGTTTGGGGAACAGTTTATTTAAGTGGTAAACTTTGAAAACAGCAATCTTGACCCCCGCCCGCTCCTATCTATCGCACGACTTCCGCGGTCAATACTATTCGTGATACAATCGGTGGATTTTTTTTCTCTAGCCTTACTTTAAATGAATTTCAGAATAATGAGTTTCGGTTTGAAGGGTGGGGCAGCCGTTGTAACTATACTGAGACTTTAGAACTCTTATCTCAGGATGGATGGCGGCATTTACGTTGTAGATGTCTATGAGCTCAGGTAGCCACTTTACACCAGGTGGGCCGTGAGCTCGTCCACTCAAACAAGCAATAAAAAAAAATTAAGATCCACAATGCACACTGATGTTTAGAGTTGATGTTCGTTTTTATAAATTCTTTTTATACAGTTTTTTGTTTTTAATCATGTATTTATAATAAAATAAAATAAAATCCCTTTTCGGGGCAAACGAGCTTACGGCCAGATACTCACCAGATGGTGAGAGGCTACCGTCACTCACGGACGACAGTAATGCCATGAAAGTTGCAGGGATACTCCTCGGGATTGCTGCAACATGCAAACCTTTGTCTTCAATGCGTGTCAGCTCAGCACAAGCGCGTTTCCAACTGACAACTTTAAGATAACATATTTTGTGATGGTAGTGTTTATACCTTGAAGGGTGACTTCTATAGCTTTTTTGTTAATATTTATGTTGAATTTTAATATGAGTAATTTTTTTTTGAAGTGTTAGTCAACTTCAAATTCTATCCATTTGATTTTATGAGAAATCTTAGAGCATTGAAGTTTTGTACGATGTACGCTCAAGTCATTGGAAATTCAACTCGAAAGCAGTAAATTACTAAGTGAGGTATCGATTGTTCTCGGACAATAAAGGGCACTGCACCGAGATTCATTGCGTCGGATATTTATTGGAATAGTTTTTAATGTACGTAACCTTTATTGTTTCTTGCTTGTTAAAAATAAATGAGTTGCTCACTGCTGTAATATGAAAAATGCTTCATATTTTAGTACGTCTCACAGCTTTTGTGTACCGATATTTTATGATCACTAGTATTTTTTTCGTATTTCACTGTCAAAAATATCAGAATTTTGTGCACAGAATCTAACATATTTCCAATTATTCGGTCTAGGGAATAGTCCAAAAGCATAATGTCTGTGGTATTTGGATATACAGTGTTTAATATTTAGCTACTTAGCTAGAGAACTCTAAATTGTTATATGTTAAAAGTCGTCGAGGCCTAAATGATAAGACGTCCGGTGCATTCGTATGTTGCGTTTAATCTGAAATGACATCTACCCAACAACTAAGAAGAGTTTTAGTCGAGAGAACTACGAAGCAAAACCGACAATTTTGAGAGTCATATTATTTATTGCTATTAAGAATTTCTAATATCACAGATTTCGGTAACGTTTCCAATACGCCCTGTATACTACTATACTTTGTGTAGCTATTTGTAAGTCATAGAAACATAAAACAAAATGAAATATAAAATTGCTTTCCAACACACATGTACTACTTAAATCTCAGTTATTGGTTTCCACCGAAATGTACTTATGTTCATTACTTATCTATTGCCAACGGCAAGAATAATAATTCGCTAATCGAATTATTAAGATTGAACATCAAACGGCATTAATTTTAACGCACGTAATCTGTTCATAGCGAAATAATATATTTATCACAAACTCTATGTCTATTGATATATAAATCTCCACTGTCTTGTTCATCAATACAACATGTACATCTTGTCGCGGAATAACGATTTAAAGTTGTAACTACATGTTTTTTTATAGGTTTATTGTAACTATGTGTTCTTAATAATTTATTTATAATAATGAATTGATTATATATTGAAATTAAAGTGGCTATGGTCTGTCAGTCTAGAGTGGCATCACCTACACCTTCCCCTGGGTGTCATAAAAGGCGACTCAGAGAGTCATCAGAGAAAGCCCAACAGCGAGCATAGGCAGTTAGTTGTTCTAATAAATATTAAACCCCGAACATCATATTCACGAATACTTATAACATTTTAATTGAAGTGTTAAAAAAAACCCGACCGTGTGCAAATCTATACCGGGGGACAGAAAAAAATACTTCTTTTTTAGATAAAGTGGCTACCCGGATAAGGACACCCGGTCTACGGAGCGCGGACCCTTTGAGGCGAATCGAACGTTCTGGACGTTGGCCGTCTCGGTACGGCAGCCCGACAGGCCGCGACAGGTCCTCTCCTATGACGGCGACACGGCGACACGCTGTTCCTGGAATCCAGAACCGCTTCATCATCATCATCCGCGGTGTCGTCTTCGTCATGGTCGTTGCAACGCGCTTTTGCGGATCAGGGCGTGGCACCAGACAGGAGCAGTACACAGTGCCATTGACTGCACCACCCCCACGTAGAAGCAGCGCACGATTAGGTCGGCACTCCGGCCGGTGGCGGCGCTTGCCTACACATAGTTATTCCTGCTGTCTAATATCTATTAGAAAATATATTTTCATTGATTATTCGCATTGTTTGCCTTTCATGCATCGTCAAACTATCTTGACCGCAGCGGGTAGAAGAAAGATATACTGTGAGCGGGCACGAATTTGTAGAACAACCTTAGGCCTCACCTTCGACGGAGGGATGACACTCGGTCCTCACATTAAGTCGGTAAGCGACCGAGCCGAGTTCTTACTCGGTCGACTCTACCCTATGATCTGCAAGCGAAGCAAATTGTCCCTTCATAACAAGGTCACACTCTACAAAACTTGCATACGTTCTGTCATAACCTATGCAAGTGCAATCTTCTTATTGTGGCCACCGCTAACTACATATCCGACCCAGGCGGGCAGGCAAAGCAAAGCCTTTTTTTTTTGGTCAGGAGGAAATCGCTGGACTTCCGCCCTCCACTGGGGATGGAGGGCGGGGCATGTCGGAGTTGAACCGACTAAAACCTCTGTCGCTCAACAACCAGCATCCAAACCTCGCATGAGACAGAACTCATGAAAATGCAAAGGGGGGAAAGTGAAGCGTTTAGTGCGGAGCACATCTCTCCCATCACCCTCCCCCTCGGGACGCCGGACTGGCGGTCGTCGGTGCCACGACCACCAGTCCTCTCGGTCGGCAGGCTATCCGAAGCCCGCCCAGATGGCACCGGTTAGAATGGTATGTCCTACAGAATACCCCGCTGGGTCAGAACCAGCGTGGGTCGAGGATAGCCGGCCTTCCATCACCCGGATGCTCTTGCATAAAACGCGTGCAGAGCAGATTGCACGTCGTCTTCTTAGGCCCCCTTCGCCTGTCTCCAGGCCGACATGTGAGGGAGACCCGAAACACTTAGAGGGCCAGGGCTTGGGCGAAATCCGCCTCCCTGGCCCCCGCTCGACGGCGATGGGCCTGTGCGTCTCTCACGCGCCCCGCCACCTCCTTCTGCGAGATGGTGCACTCGCAGAAGTCGAGCATCGCCTTCCACGACTCGTCGTGACCGAGCATCGATGCCACAACACTCGGCAACGACAAGTCGTTTCCTATTTTTGCGACGAGGACACGGCGCCACCCCTCCCATGCTGGGCAGGCGACGAGCGTGTGCTCCGCCGTGTCCAAGTCGCAACCACAATGGTGGCACTCTGCTGTCGGCTCGGCTCCGATCTGGTGCAGGAACTCACCGAAGCAACCATGTCCAGTGAGCACCTGCGTGAGCCGGAAAGTGAGGCGTCCTCTGTCATGATTCACCCTATTCACAAGAACCGGGCGAATCGCCTCGACGGTCCTACGACCAGCCGAAGGATCGGCCAGCCGTCTGAACCATGACTCCAGCACGGACCGCCGAGATTTGGCCCTCCGCGCTCTGACCACACTGGGGCTGGGACGTGCCACGCCCCGGACACAAAGGTCAGCCCGCCACTGATAGTCAGCAGCGAGCGCCTCCGCCTCCAGGACCCAAGGCGGCGTTCCAGCCAGTACACACGCCGCCTCGAAAGAGATGGTGCGATAACCACGGATCACCCTGACTGGGATGGTGCGTTGCGGCCGTTGCAGCAGCTTCGCTACCCCCACGGCCAGAGACTGGCCCCACACGGGCGCCCCGTATAGAGCCATTGATCGCACCACCCCTGTATAGAGACGGCGCGTCACCTGTTCAGGCCCCCCGACGTTGGGAAGGAGCCGGCTTAACGCGCCGGCCACCGCCAACAAACGAGGGACCAGATTCTGAAAGTGAGCACGGAAGGTCCAACGACTGTCCAGAATGAGGCCGAGGTACTTCAACTGCACCCCGACCCCGATACGGACGCCTCCAACCACGACATGGGCATCGACAGGTGGCACTCTCCGGGGCCTGTGGAACCACATGGCCTCGGATTTACTGAGCGCCACGTCGAAGCCCAATCTCCTGAGGTTGAGCCCGTGAGCTCACCTAAATTTTAATAAATACAAATTGGAGGCTGCGTAATGACAGTAAGAGAGTTTCATTTTTGTAGAAAGCCTCAATGCAAATGGCTTTGTTCTCGTATGTTCTTTTTTCTTGTTTGTGCTTTATTGTGTAGGCTAAAAAAATCTATCGCACCTTAAAGTATGTTAATAGAATGAAAACAAATTGTCTAATTAATAAACAAACCTTTATTGAATTGATTTCTTTCAAGACAGAAAAAAAAATTAAGATATTTTATTAATGGGGTAAAAGTACACGTTATGTTGTATAAATACCAATATTATATGTAAATACGATAAGTAAAAATTGAAAAGACTTATTTCCTGAATAACTGTTAAATATCTATTTTTACTGTTCTTTTAAAAGCATATCGCGAAGAGTTCTTCTTAATATTTTGCCTCTAGGATTTCTTGGTAATTCATTTATAAATCGAATACCACCTTTCAATTCCATATATGGTGGAACCTGAAAAAGGCAAATTATCTATAGTAATATTATAAAGCTGAAGAGTTTGTTTCATCCTGATGATTACGGGACTTTTCGGGAAGTCTATTCTTTCGAACAAAAAAAAAAAGAAATAAGAATTATCAGAATCGGTTCAAACATTCTAGAGAAATCGGTGAACATACATAGATAAAAAATCGTGTGGCACTCGGGAAATGCCGCGGTAAATCTATTGCATAGCATTTTTTATCCACTTATACAATTATAATTAGACAATGATAATTTAATATTAAAACAATAATAAAACAGACCACGCTATATTAAACATTAAAAAGTTGTAAATGTATCTGGGCTCCAGTAAGCACTTAACATCAGGTGGGCCGTGAGCTCGTTCACCCATCTATGCAATAAAACAAACAAAAAAAAGAAGTTGTAAATGTATCTGGGCTCCAGTAACCACTTAACATCAGGTGGGTCGTGAGCTCGTTCACCCATCTATGCAATAAAAAAAAAAAAGAAGTTGTAGATGTATCTGGGCTCCAGTAATCACTTAACATCAGGTGGGCCGTGAGCTCGTTCACCCATTTATGCAATAAAACAAACAAAAAAAAAGTTGTAAATGTATCTGGGCTCCAGTAACCACTTAACATCAGGTGGGCCGTGAGCTCGTTCACTCATCTATGCAAATTAAAAAGTATAAATTAGTTCAAGATCTAAAACATCTAAATCTAAAACAAACAAAAAAAAGAAATCAATAATTTCATGATGCGCATGCAGTGTGACGTCACGCCACGCGCTTATTCACAAACACTACACCAGCGCAACGTGTGAATGTGTTGAACGCGAGCTACATGGTAGCCGGAGTGAGGGGTGTAAGGTTTTTTTCGTTACGGGATTTCATGATTCGGTCGCCGCGCTCAAGGCCCGCGATAAAATCTATGCAATAGCTTAAAAATTGTAGTCGTATTGATAACCTCCTCTCTTTTGAAGTTGGTTAAAAAGCGTGGTTTTGGTACCTTAAATAGCTCCTTAACATACTTGTATTCAAAAATATAAATCTAGCGTTATCCCAAAGTAACTATACCACGCGGACGAAGTCGCGGGCAAAACTTAGAATACATATATATAATTTGTACGTACTTCTGTAACCACAAAATCAATTAACTCCTGTTCGGTAACATTAAATCCCGGGCGCTTAACTATAAAGGCTGTTGGCAGTTCATCGTCCTCTGGATGAGGTTTTCCGACCACACCCGCCTCTTTCACTGCAGGATGGAGTAACAGGACAGTCTCTAGTTCCGTGGGTGGAACCTATATGGCAATAAGATTTAAAAAAAAGAATCGAGAAAGCAACTTGTTTTAAATATCGGTTTTAAATTCTGAATTTTACTTAGAATTAAGTTATGACAAATCAGTATCCCGATAGCTATACTCTTTATTATGGTTTTCAGAAATATTGACCCTTAGATTATATACCATGATCTTGCCATTGATAATTACAATGTTTAGTTTTAATAAGTTTAATAAGTAAAAGGTACAAATTAATCACAATGAAAAAAGAAAACCTAAAAATAAAAAAAACACGCTTTATTAAGGAACCGAGATAAAAGTTAGATCAAAGTAATAAAATTATTGTTTTGTCATCGGTCTTTGACACGAGTTCAAAATTTTAAATTAATCTAGCTTCAGAAATTTCGTTACATAGATAGACCAACTTAGTGAAGAGTGCTAAAAATGGGGAAAGTACTGGATTGACCTACCTGGTCTCCTTTATATGAAATAATTTCCTNGATTCGGTTCTCTTTATCACCCCACTCCATTTTAATATCGCAAAATATTGTACAATGTATTGGCGCCAAAATGAGAAAACTCAATGAGAAATCATATAAAAATGACAGATTCCACTTTCAAATGTAATATTTTGTTTATTTTTAATTGTAACAGTATTTATGGCCAGACTAAGTATTCCACGCGGACGAAGTCGCGGGCAAAACCTAGTATATATGTTGGAGTATTTCTACTTTCGGGTAGCGACATGGTAAGCGGGCGGTCTTCGTAAGTCAATAAAACCAGAAATGTTAACTCAGAGCGTATATTACGCAGGAGCGTTCCGTCTGATACGGGACTCGCTCGCTTCTGAGCTCGAGAGACAACAACGGAGCGTTTTTATAGCAAGGTATCGTGGTGGGACGATGTTGTTTACGATTCTTATTTTGCACGTGTTGTTTTCGATGAATGCTTGCACGTGTTGTTTGTCGTCCCATCTTTATTAGTCATGAACTAATGGTTTATTAAAACACGCGCCGACATATATACCTAGTCAGGTCATAAATTCTGTAACATGTTTAATGTAAAATAATTGAAACAAGTTTATTCATTATGTAACCATTCATATACCAAAATGAACTTAACAAAACATAGATTCTTATGACACTAAAGTTTATTCAAAATGACCTCCGTGATTTTGAATACAGGCCTTCAATCTGCGCGGCCAGTCGTCTATCGCAGCACGAAAGAGGTCCATGTTAATATCGGCAGCTGCCTTAATCAAGGATGTCTTGAGTGACTCCAAATTGGGATGAGGCTTTTGAGCACGCCTTTTCCTCCAAGTGTTGCCATATCTTGTAATCTAACAGATTCAAATCTGGACTGGAGGAGGGCCAGTCTTCGGGCCGGATGAAGTCGATTTCACGCGCCGCCAGCCAGTCTTGTGTGCTCTTCGCTCTATGAGCTGGCGCCGAATCTTGTTGGAATACCCAGTGCCTGTTATTGAACATGGTATGAGAAACAGGTTCCACAAGGTTCGTCAGGACTGTATTTTGATACACAACTGCATTCGTTTTTACACCTTTCTCACAAAAATGTACCTCTGTTAAGCCCCAANGAAAAAAGAAAACCTAAAAATAAAAAAAACACGCTTTATTAAGGAACCGAGATAAAAGTTAGATCAAAGTAATAAAATTATTGTTTTGTCATCGGTCTTTGACACGAGTTCAAAATTTTAAATTAATCTAGCTTCAGAAATTTCGTTACATAGATAGACCAACTTAGTGAAGAGTGCTAAAAATGGGGAAAGTACTGGATTGACCTACCTGGTCTCCTTTATATGAAATAATTTCCTTTAATCTATCGACAATGTAAAAGTATTTGTCTTCGTCGTAATAACCTAAGTCCCCCGTTTTGAAGAAACCTTCCTCGTCTAGGTAAATTGAAGGGTCTACTCCTATGTAACCCTTCATAAAAACAGGTCCTTTAAGGCAAATTTCGCCACGACGATTTGCGCCCAGTACTTGACGGGTTTCGGGATCTACAACCTTAGAATAAAACATTCTATTTCAGATACTATATCAATATCACGAAGTGGCTGTGAATGTAGCAAAGACTTAACATAAAATATCGCAAGGACTGATCGAGCGCATTCAAGGTACATAAAATATTTCTCAAAACCTACGTAAAACGGGCTGGTAATGATATCTACAGTGTGATTACAGAAATTGAGTTCGGATTGGATTCGGATTGATACTCGATGCGTTCGGATTGTGGATAATCCTAATCTTTCGAATTGTTTAGAATCTCTGCGTCTACAGATGAAACTTTGGTTCTCTTTGTATTTTATACCTTATATTAGGATTACTATTAGGATTACGTATATTAGAGGTTGAATAAGTACAGATTTTTGATAGGTGATTCCGATATGGCCATTTTGTCATTCCATCAGCTTATCATACCTTACTTCAGTTTCATTATTTGTGAGAAAACTCTGTGCTCATTTAATTAATTATTCATCAATTATTATTTCTCTCTGGAATGAACTCGCCTCCACAATCCTTCCCAAGTTCTACAGGCCCGTTACTTAAAATAGGTTTTAATAGAGTCTTCCGCAGTAGCTAGCAGCATGCCTATGTCCGTAACAATTATTGATGACCATGAACCATTGCTTCGCGTCGCTCTTTTATACATAGTTTTTAGTTGAAGCTATAGTGAAAAATACATAGTACCATATAGGTCTCTGACGCCGCTCCGGAATGATCATGGCCGTATCACAGTAATTTTGATGTATCTAGGATCTTTTTTATATTGTTGGTATAGTGATGGACGACCTCACAGTCCACCTGGTGTTAAGTGGTTAACGGAGCCCATAGACATCTACGACGTAAATGCCCCACCCACCTTGAGATATAAGTTCTAAGGTCTCAAGTATAGTTACAACGGCTGCCCCACCCTTCAAACTGAAACGCATTACTGCTTCACAGCAGAAATAGGCAGGGTGGTGGTACCTACCCACGCAGACTCACAAGAGGTCCTACCACCAGTAATGACCGTAAGCATAAATACTTTTTAAATAGATATTCTTATTACCTTTAGTATAATGCCAGGTGTAGCCTTACCAACGCTCCCAAGTTTAGTTCCTTTATCGCCCCAGCACTCTGAACTTAATTCTCCAGCTTCTGTCATCCCATACCCTTGAATTATATAATTTAATTTCGGTAATCTAAAATACCGAAATTAAGTAAAATATATAATATAATTATCAAACTTTAGGGTCTACGCTAACTATAATAATGTATTTTTAATTTAATATCTATGTTAGAATAATTACTTCATTGGAAACTAAATAAATTAATTTAATTCTCACCTTTCTTTCACTTTTTCCATGGTCTTAATATGAAGAGGGCTTGCGCGTGAATAAATTATTTTCAGAGAATCTAAATTGTGATTTTTTACTTCATCATTTTTCGAAATATAATGGACAAAAGATGGCACAACAAATCCAATGTTAACCTTCAATAATAAATATTCAATAATATTTCGATTGAGTGTTTTAATGTGAAATAGTTTAATGTACGAACATTTTTATCTTACCTTCATAAGTTCAATGGTTTTAAGAATTGCAGTTGGGTTCGGATTATCCAGGTAAACAATTTTCTTTCCCTTCGTTAAAAATTTATACGTCATAAATGTATCGTAATTATGATACCATTCACCAAAAATGAAAACTGTCTGCAGAGATTCGTAGCTGAAACTGAATATGTGCATTGTAAATAGTTACAAGCGAGCATTGTTGCAAATAGAGAATGCAGAAAGAAGTCGTCGAGGACAAACATTTTATGTAGGGAAAAAATGCTTCATCATCGTCATCATCATCATCAGCCTTTATCTGCCCACTGCTGGACATAGACCTTCCCCAATGCCTTCCATATAACGCAGTCCTCCGCCTTCCGCATCCAACGACTTCCCGCCGTGCGCACTAAGTCATCGATCCACCTGCTTGCTAGCACACAATCTTCTTATCAGCCCATGGACGTACACTACCGGACATAGGCCTCCCCAACGGCCCAACTTTCTGGCCCCAACGGCCATCCGCTCTGCGAACAATGTGTCCTGCCCACTGCCACTTCAATGTCGCAATCCTTTTGGCTTTGTCGGTTACCATGGTTTTCCTGCGAATCTCCTCAGTTCTGATTTAATCTCGCAGGGAAACTCTGAGCATAGCCCTCTCCATTGCTCTTTGGGTGACCTTGAGCCTTCTCATAAGGCCCATTGTAAGCGATTATTGGGATTATCCAGAGAATGGGCAGCGGCATTCTCCGAGTATCATAACAGCACACTGCGATCGCCAACCCGCATGCCAAGCGTGGCGATTATGGCAACCCCCCACCAACATGGCTGACACAAATAGCACACAATACGATATAATAATTGCACATATTACTTACTTAGAAGGTAGACTGCTTAGTATACAATTCAAGTGAGTTAATTGAACTCCTTTCGGCATACCAGTAGTTCCTGATGAATATAATACAGCTGCTGTATCTATTTGTCCTTGAACCGGCGTCGGTTCAAACAGATCCACATCGACATATTTGGAAGCTAAGCTTTTTATTGAAACCACACCCTCGCTGTTGTCTTCCAGAGTGAAGTACGTTTGTATGCAGTCAAAACTCTTTAAGACGTCGCTGTACGTCAACCAAAACTTATTTGAATAAATAAAATATTTAGGTTTCACTACACTTAGTTTGTGTTTTAACGAGGCTGCAAGAAATTTGTAAGGATTAGTGAAAGTGTTTTTGTTACTTGAAAATATAATTACGCGTTTGTTAATGGATAGATGTAGCAATTATTTTCTATTATGGTGGAGTTTAATTAATAGGTAAAAGCTGAAAAAGGAGTGAGTGAAATAGAACTTTAATTTGATTTCCTCCTTAAAAATAGCATTAATTCTATCCTTTATGAATTACTGATTTTTAAGGACTTATAACTTTACCCAGAACACCATAAAATATGAAAGAGCTATGAAATTCTATTAATTCAAAATTATTTAGTTCTAGATGGGGAAATTATATTTGCCCCAGTGATAACATTCCAGAATAATTAAGATCATAGTGATTTAATTATTTCCTGGCGATACTGGTACAAAATGCAAATATACGGCTAGACGATTTTTGCTTGATAAAATGTCTTTCCAACTATCAATCAAAACATGATGCACTTATGATGTTCTGCTCACACCTACTACCACTTCATCCCATCATTTATCTACTTAACACTGCCCTTGATTTCAATCATGAGTCCTAAGAATACTGTGTGTGATGTACCTACCAGCTTAGATGGTGTTCTGGCGTATTCGCTAGTTCAATACTTGGTTAAATTTTATCAGTGCAGATGGATAGACGAACTCACGACCCGTTTGGTTGTAGCCAGGTTCCGAAGCCCATAGATGTAGCAAACTGATTGCCGTCATCCTCTTTCATACATAAGTTTGAAATCTTAATTATTGTATTGTATATATGGTAGGCAGCGGCTTGGCTCTGCCCCNGTTAAGCCCCAATAAGAAACTCCCAACCATACCATGAGCGAGGATGGAAAATGACCTCGTTGGACACGCGGAATACGGTTGCTCGCTTCTTCACTACTGTGTGCGTACACCTTATCATTTTGTTTGTTGTAGCTCTCTTCTACGGTAAAATTTTTTTCATCCGAAAAAAGAATTTCCCGATATTTTTTTCCCGCGTACCACTTCAACAAAGCGCGGCATCTCTTCAGTCTCAGGTCCATTAGACGAACATTCAAACGATGTCCTGTTTTTCTTCGATATGCCCGAAGCCCTAAGTCTTCATTTAACACCCTTTTCACCGTGGTTCTGCTTAACCCCTTGTGAAGGGCCAACAGTTTCTGCTTACGTTTGGGATTTCTTTGAATTCGCGCCTTCACAGCTTTTATCACTGCTGGAGTCCTAACAGACCAATGGCGACCACTTCTTCACCTGTCATTTACACTAGAGTCTTCACTGTATCGTTTGATGGTACGATAATCGAATCTTTTGGTTATATTCAAATTTTTCAGTATGTTAAAAATTTGAATTGGCGCGTAACCGCAACGATGCAACGCAATAACTGCAACACGGTCTTCTTTAAGCGTCTACTCCTTATTTAAAAATGAGTAAAATTCTAAAAGTATACATTTTTATTTTCATGAACAATTAGAAATTCGAATTCAATGAACTTTTTTGTGGCCAGCATTCTAAAAGAAAAGTTTTTACTGTGTGACAATACTTATGACCTAACTAGTTATATACGTACTTATGTATATAATATGTACGTACTTCTGCAACCACAAAATCAATTAATTCCTGTTCGGTAACATTAAATCCTGGGCGCTTTACTATAAAGGCTGTTGGCAGTTCATCGTACTCTGGATTAGGTTTTCCGACCACACCTGCCTCTTTCACTGCAGGATGGAGTAACAGGATAGTCTCTAGTTGCGTGGGTGGAACCTATAAAGCAATAAGGTTAAAAAAAAAAACGAGAAAGCAACCTGTTTTAAATATCAGTTTTAATTTCTGAATCTTACTTAGAATTAAGTTATTACAAATCAGTAAGTATCCCGATAGCTATACTCTTTATTATGGTTTTTAGAAATATTGACCTTTATATTATATACCATCATCTAAGTTTGACCAATATTTGCCATTGATAAATAAAATGTTTAGTTTTAGTAAGTTTAATAAGTAAAATGTTTAATTTGTACATGTCAGAATGAAAAAAGAAAATCTAAAAATAAAAAAGCACGCTTTAGTAAGGAACCGAGATAAAAGTTAAAATAATCAAACTAATAAAATTATTGTTTTGTCATCGGTCTTTGACACGTGTGCAAAATTTTAAGTTAATCTAACGTTACAAATTTCGTTACATATATAGACCAAATTAGTGAAAGAGTGCTAAATATGGGGAAAGTACTGAATTGACGTACCTGATCTCCTTCATATGAAATAATTTCCTTTAATCTATCGACAATGTAAAAGTATTTGTCTTCGTCGTAATAACCTAAGTCCCCCGTTTTGAAGAAACCTTCCTCGTCTAGGTAAATTGAAGGGTCTACTCCTATGTAACCCTTCATAAAAACAGGTCCTTTAAGGCAAATTTCGCCACGACTATTTGCGCCCAGTACTTCACGGGATTCGGGATCTACAACCTTAGAATAAAATATTCTATTTCAGATATTATATCAATATCACGAAGTGGCTGTGAATGTAGCAAAGACTTAACATAAAATATCGCAAGGACTGATCGAGTGCATTCAAGGTGCACAAAATATTTCTCAAAATCTACGTAACACGGGCTTGTAATGGTACCTACAGTGTGATTACAATAATTGAGTTCGGCTTGGATTCGGATCGATACTCGATGCGGTCGGATTGTCGATAATCCTAATCTTTCGAATTGTTTAGAATCTCTGCGTCTACAGATTAAACTTTGGTTCTCTTTGTATTTTATACCTTATATTAGGATTACTGAATGAACTCGCCTCCAAAACCTTCCCGAGTTCTACAGGTACGTTACTTAAAAGAGGTTTTAAAAGAGTCTTCCGCAGTAGCCGGCAGCATGCCTATTCCCGTAACAATTATTGATGACCATGAACAGCGATGCCCACTTTTCATTAGATGGGCCGTATACTTGTTTGGCTTCGAAATATAAGTTAGAAGTTGCAATTTAGCAGATTTAAAATGATTCAATTAAAGTGTTTATAGTTGCTTCGCGTCGCCCTTTTATATAATATAGTTTTTAGTTGAAGCTATAGTGACAAATAGGTCTCAGAGACCGTGCCGGCGTGATCATGGCCGTATCACAGTGATTTTGATGTATCTGGAACCTTTTTGAAGTGAAACTTCTTTAGGCGCATGAGGGTAAAATTTTTACAGATATAACGTCACGCAGGTATGCAACGGAAATGTCATCAAACTACTATTGAAATTAAGTACTTGTCAAATGTCAGTAGTAGTAGTTGTTGTATTTTTCCAACTGGAAAGGCAAATTAATCATACCATACAGCCTAATATTGTATAATTTTTTGTGAAAAATGTTCATAGGAATTGAAATGAATTGAAAGAATTTGGAACATTAATCAAATAGCATGAAATTAAATAAGTCAATTTAATTGGCAAAATATTAGTCATTTCCAATTTAGAAATCTAAACATAATGTGACTGTCAACACTAAGGTTTGAGATTGACATTTGACAGACTTTTAGCGGGAACATATCTTCCTTTTTCCCTTCCTCTAAGTCTCGGAAATCTAAAGTTTTATATTTGTATAAATATAAGCAAGACTTATAAATTAGTTCGCCAAAGAAGTTTCACTTCTAACATGTGTACTTTGTACGCACGCACTTTTTTTTATATTGCTTAGATTGGTGGACGAGCTCACAGCCCACCTGGTGTTAAGTGGAGTTACTGGAGCCCATAGACATCTACAACGTAAATGCGCCACTCACCTTGAGATTTAAGTTCTAAGGTCTCAAGTATAGATAGTTACAACGGCTATCCCACTCTTCAAACCGAAACGAATTATTGCTTCACAACAGAAATAGGCAGAGTGATTACCTACCCGCGCGGACTCACAAGAGGTCCTACTACCAGTAATGACCGTTAGCACAAATACTTTTTAAATATATATTCTTATTACCTTTAGTATAATGCCAGGTGTAGCCTTGCCAACGCTCCCAAGTTTAGTTCCTTTATCGCCCCAGCACTCTGAACTTAATTCTCCAGCTTCTGTCATCCCATACCCTTGAATTATATAATTTAATTTCGGTAATCTAAAATACCGAAATTAGGTTAAATAATATAATTATTCAAACTTTAGGGTCTCTACACTAACTACGAGTATGATGATGTATTTTTAATTTAATTACATTGTTATAATAATTAATTCACTGGAAACTAAATAAATTAATTTAATTCTCACCTTTCTTTCACTTTTTCCATGGTCTTAATATGAAGAGGGCTTGCGCATGAATAAATTATTTTCAGAGAGTCTAAATTGTGATTTTTTACTTCATCATTTTTCGAAATATAATGGACAAAAGACGGCACAACAAATGCAATGTTAACCTTCAATAATAAATATTCCAGATATAATAATATTTCGATTGATTGTTTTAATGTGAAATAGTTTAATGTAGGAACATTTTTATCTTACCTTCATAAGTTCAATGGTTTTAACAATCGCAGCTGGGGTCGGATTATCCACGTAAACAATTTTCTTCCCCTTCGTGAAAAAATTATACGTCATAAGTGTATCGTAATTATGATACCATTCACCAAAAATGAAAACAGTCTGCAGAGATTCGTAGCTGAAACTAAATATGTGCATTGTAAATAGTTACAAGCGAGCATTGTCGCAAAGAGAGAATGCAGAATGCAGAAAGAAGTCGTCGAGGCCAAAAATATGAATATTTTTATGTAGGAAAAAATGCTTGCGAGCACATAATACGATATAATAATTGCACATATAGGTAGTACTTACTTAGTAGGTAGACTGCTTAGTATACAATTCATGTGAGTTAATTGAACTCCTTTCGGCATACCAGTAGTGCCTGATGAATATAATACAGCTGCTGTATCTATTTGTCCTTGAACCGGCGTCGGTTCAAACAGATCCACATCGACATATTTGGATGCTAAGCTTTTTATGGAAACCACACCCTCGCTGTTGTCTTCCAGAGTGAAGTACGTTTGTATGCAGTCAAAACTTTTTAAGACGTCGCTGTATGTCAACCAAAACTTATTTGAATAAATAAAATANCCTGATGAATATAATACAGCTGCTGTATCTATTTGTCCTTGAACCGGCGTCGGTTCAAACAGATCCACATCGACATATTTGGATGCTAAGCTTTTTATGGAAACCACACCCTCGCTGTTGTCTTCCAGAGTGAAGTACGTTTGTATGCAGTCAAAACTTTTTAAGACGTCGCTGTATGTCAACCAAAACTTATTTGAATAAATAAAATATTTAGGTTTCACTACGCTTAGTTTGTGTTTTAACGAGGCTGCAAGAAAATTATAAGGATTAGTGAAAGTGTTTTTGTTACTTGAAAATATAATTACGCGTTTGTTAATGGATAGATGTAGCAATTACTTTCTATTATGGTGGAGTTTAATTAATAGGTAAAAGCTGAGAAAAGAGTGAGCGAAATAGAACTTTAATTTGAGTTCCTCCATAAAAATAGCAATAATTCTATCCTTTATGAATTACTGATTTTTAAGGACTTATAATTTTACCCAGAACACCATAAAATATGGAAGAGCTATAAAATTCTATTAATTCAAAATTATTTTGTTCCCGATGGGGAAATTATATTTGCCCCAGTAATAACAATCCAGAATAACTAAGATCATAGTGATTTAATTATTTCCTGGCGACACTGGTAGAAAATACAAATATACGACTAGACGATTTCTGCTTGATAATAGTCTTTCCAACTATCAATCAAAACATTATGGTATTCTGCTCACACCTACTACCACTTCATCCCATCATTTATCTACTTAACACTGCCCTTGATTCCCATCATGAGTCCTAAGAATACTGTGTGTGATGTACCTACCAGCTTGGATGGTGTTCTGGCGTATTCGCTAGTTCAATACTTGGTTAAATTTTATCAGTGCAGATGGATAGACGAACTCACGACCCGTTTGGTTGTAGCCAGGTTCCGAAGCCCATAGATGTAGCAAACTGATTGCCGTCATCCTCTTTCATACATAAGTTTGAAATCTTAATTATTGTATTGTATATATGGTAGGCAGCGGCTTGGCTCTGCCCCTGGCATTGTTGACGTCCATGAGCGACGGTGACCACTTACCATCAGGTGGGCCGTATGCTCGTCTGCCAACAAAGGCTATAAAAAAAAACTATTGTAAGATATTTGGCTCAGCATCAATTATGGCGTAAGCTTGGGAAACGCTCATCTACAATTAGCTGAGATGGTGTGGTGCGATTACTTGTTCTTTTTCAAAATACTTGCTTAGCGAGCCTTAAGCGGCAGGTTGCGCTTTAGTTGTACCCCTGGTACTGATTACGCTCATGGGCGACCGTTGAGTGGGCCGTGCTCGACCGTCATTGACACTAGTAAAAATGTCGGATTAAAAGGTGAGAATGATGCTTAATGCTGATGCATAATAGTGATTTCCTCAGCTCATGATAAATTATTCTCGAAATACTATTACATCATATAACTAACTGTCTGGTCTTGAATTTACCTTTTCCAACTTTCAGATCGTAAGGTGTATAGGTGGCTCCAGTCAATACAATTGCAAGCAAAGTCTGAACAAATTCATTGTGTTTTTCCGACCCGAGTGCCACAGTATCTCCTCTTCCGACTCCAAGGCTCGTCAAAGACGCGGAAAGGTTCACAACATACTGTGCGATTTCTTTGTACGATAGTTTTTCACCTGTATCAGCATTTTCCTGAAGAAAACACACTCTGTTAGTTGTTTGTATAGTAGGTACATGAGTGTCGTCTCTTGCTAAATAGGCGAGTTTGCTCAGCTAATCTAAGAAAAATAATCGCATGAAACAGTAAGAAAAATACTAATATTTAATATAAGGAAGCTTTTAGATACTCACTATTGCAATTTGGTCATTCCACTGTCGGATATGTTCCAACATGAATTGCCCAAAATTTAAATGTGCCGGTACTTGAACGTTTTTATCACCAAACACAAAATTATAATTATACGGCATTTTCATGTAGATTTTAAATTACAGAGAAAAGAAATAGAATACTGGTATTTTTTTTCCAATTAGAAACGACCTGAAACAAGTTATTGACGTAGAAAACAAAACATGTCTCCACACTTACGAAAGAAGCGTGTTTCTAATGCACAACTGTAAATTCCAAATAATGTTTCACGAGTAATTTAAACAAAATTTTTATCTATGATAATCTTATATTTATTTAACATACATACATTACCCAGTAATTGTTCTTTTCTGAATGTATATTTCAAACCAACACTCTTTTAATTTGCATGTCAAATATCACATAATCATTTTGGATTAAACACAGCAAAGTGAGCTACTGAATTTTATTTTATTTGGCCGCGGGATTGTAAACTTGTGTAAAAATCTCTTGTTGCTATGCATGTCCAAATTTAGTTTTCTGGTATAATTATTTTCTTTTGTATACTATCCACTGATCTACTAAGCATAGTATAACCATTCTTATGTACAATACCGTTATACTGTACTAGACGATAAATATTGCGCATCGCTCTTTCGGACGAGACAAATTTCAGTTTAGTAGAGTTAACTTTGCCGCATGAAGCACTAACAGTCCGGTATTAAGACCACACGGTATTGCAATTATACAACGACTGATCAATATCACTTAAGTAATGTACGACAGAGATAACGCTTTCCGAAACCGAAATTAGGCCAGTCTATTAGCGGTAGGCAGCGGCTTGGCTATACCTCTGGCATTGCTGAAGTCCATGGGCGACGGTAACCACTCACCATCAGGTGGGCCGTATGCTCGTCTGCCTACGAGGGCAATAAAAAAAAAATCTTTTTCCACAGACCGATGTACAAAATTTATCACCGGGTACTGTACGAGGTATTCTAGAATGTTCCAATATAGAGCTTGGGCTATCAAGAACAAGGATTGAATGAAACAGTTTCTTTACTATGTAGACTTTAATAATAATTGTGTCAAGAATTAAAATCAAATGGAGAACTTTTCTCATTTTATGGGACGGAGTCATCAGGGATACGACGCAAATTAGCTGACATTATATGCTTACGTAGCTTGTTTATAATATAATAGTTTTTTTTTGATATAGTTGAACTGTTATAGATAAATATATGCACCGAGTTTGGGCAACAGTTTATTTAAATGGTATACCTTGAAAGCATCAATCTTGAACCCCGCCCGCTCCTGCATATCACACGACTTCCACGGTCAATACTATTCGTTAAAAAATCGGTGGAATCATTTTCCCTAAATGAATTATATTTGAAATTAATTTAAGGTCCACAACGCACACTGATTTTTAGAGTTGATATTCGTTTTTATAAATTCTTTTTATACAGTTTTTTGTTTTTAATATTGTATTTTTATATGATAAGTTTTTTTTTAATTACCCTTTCTGTGCAGACGACTCTACGGCCCAACTGATGGTGAGAGGCTACTGTCGCTCATGGACGATAGTTATGCCATGAAAGTTGTAAGGATATTCCTTGAAATAGCGGCAACACGCAAACCTGTGTCTTCAGTGTCAGCTCAGCTCAATCACGCTTCCAACTGATGACTTTTAATATATCACATTTTATGAAGTATTCACACCTAGAAGGGTGACTTCCATAATTTTCTTTGATGAGATTTATGTTGAATTTTAATATAAGTAATTTTTTTCCAGCTGTGTAAGCCAAATAAATAAAAACGATGGGTGTCAACTTACTAAAGTCGTCTACCGTCATCCTGTCCGTCACTGCACCGATAAACAGTCATGCATTGAAGGGCCTAACTGTCATACAATAAAATGAAGACTTTGACCTCAAGGTCTCAAGATACGTCATAGCATAGTTACGATGACCAGGGATTTTGGTAATCACCGATGAGACCGCTAACAGCATATCTAGTCGTGCTGGACTACTGAAGGCTCAAAGACTATTTCAACTATTTACAGATTAAATTTATTGATTAAAATTAGAAACTAGTTTGAAGTGCTAGTCAACTTCAAATTGTATCCATTTGATTTTATGAGAAATCTTAGAGCATTGAAGTTTTGTACGATGTACGCTCAAGTCATTGGAAATTCAACTCGAAAGCAGTAAATTACTAAGTGAGGTATCGATTGTTCTCGGACAATAAAGGGCACTGCACCGAGATTCATTGCGTCGGATATTTATTGGAATAGTTTTTAATGTACGTAACATTTATTGTTNGTACGCTCAAGTCATTGGAAATTCAACTCGAAAGCAGTAAATTACTAAGTGAGGTATCGATTGTTCTCGGACAATAAAGGGCACTGCACCGAGATTCATTGCGTCGGATATTTATTGGAATAGTTTTTAATGTACGTAACATTTATTGTTTCTTGCTTGTTAAAAATAAATGAGTTGCTCACTGCTGTAATATGAAAAAGTTTCATATTTTAGTACGTGTCACACACAGCTTTTGGGTACAGATATTTTATGATCACTAGTATTTTTTTCGTATTTCACTGTCTAAATTTTCAGCATTTTGTACACAGAATCTAACATATTCCAATTATTCGGTCTAGGGAATAGTCCATAAGCATAATGTCTGTGGTATTTGGATATACAGCGTTTTATGTTTAGCTGTTTAGCTAGAGAACTCTAAATTGCACCTTCCTTTAGGATAAGACCTCCGGTGCATTCGTATCTTGCGATGCGGTGTTCGAATCCCGCTGGCAGGTACCAACTTTTAAAAAAAGTATACTTCACAAATGTTCACGATTGACTTCAACGGTGAAAGAATAACATCGTGTAATAATAATCGAAACCCGCAAAGTTATAATTTGCGTATTTACTGGTGGTAGGACGTCTTGTGTGTCCGCACGGGTAGGCACCACCGCCGTGCCTATTTCTGCCGTGAAGCAGTAATGCCTTTCGGTTTGAAGGGTGGAGCAGCCATTGTAAGTGCTCCGCTGAACACATAACATCGGGTGGGTTGTGAGCTCGTCCACCCATTTAAGCAATAATTTTTTTTCTTAAATAAATTTGCTATAAATATTATTGAAATGTTTTCGTGTTAGGAATTATTTTCAAATCATTAAAATATTCTTCTTCTCAAACTTAATTTGAAATGACCTGCCAAACAACTAAGAAGAGGTCGAGAGAACTACAAAGCAAAACCGACAATTTTAAGACTCATATTATTTATTCATGCTAGCATTTCTAATACTATAGATTTCGGTAACGTTTCCTATACGCCCTGTATACTACTATACTTTGTCTAGCTATTTGTAAGTCATAGAAACATACAAAATAAAATATAAAATTGCTTTCCAACACACACGTAATACTTAAATCTCAGTTATTGATTTCTATCGAAATGTACTTATGTTCATTACTTATCTATTGTCAACGGCAATAATTATAATTCGCTAATCGAATCATTAAGATTGAACATCAAACGGCATAAATTTTAACGCACGTAATCTGTTCATTGAGAAACATATTTATCACAAACTCTATATCTATTGATATATGTCGACGCTTGAAAGGCAAACGTGACTAAGCGACAATGCGTGAATAGACTAATTTAAAGTTGAAATTATACCTGAAAACAAAATTTATTTTAACGAATCTAGCTGTAGTCAGTAGAATCTAGCTAGTAGCTATAGGATTGAAATGATTTTAATAGATCTAGAAATATATATATATTTTCGCATCGAATATGGTTATTGCCTATCATTTATGTACAAAGCAGTTATTGTCGCTTAGTCACGTTTGCCTTTCAAGCGTCGATGTATGTAAATAAATATCTTCTCTCTTGTTCATCAATACAACTTATATATCTTTTCGCGAAATAGCGATTTAAAATTGTAACCGCATGTTTTGGAACGAAGTTCCTTATGGGACGATACGGAGGGATACCCTAACCGGGAAAAAACGTCCGTAACGTAAGATTTTTATTAGTAATCCACACAGTGTACAACTTAACTTTGTAATAACGTACAAATAATAACATATTTTTTTATCATTCATTGACCACGATCTCAGAGCGTTCGTTTGCGCAATACACTAACTCTTATGCAACCAACCGTGAATGAAGTGTACCACAATAAGTTCGCACGTTACCGAATGACCGTGGGTTGTTGTGAAACCTCCAGTTTTATTTTCTCTATACCTCGAATAGAACTTAAAATTAATATTTTTATAATAAGGAACTTCGTTACAATTTTTGCCACGTACCATCCGGCTTTGGAATGAACTCCCCTCCACGGTGTTTTCCGAGCGCTATGACATGTCCTTCTTCAAACGAGGCTTGCGGAGAGTACTTTATGGTAGGCAGTGGCTTGGCTCTGCCCCTGGCATTGCTGACGTCCATGAGCGACGGTGACCACTTACCATCAGGTGGGCCGTATGCTCGTCTGCCTACAAAGGCAATAAAAAACGAAAAAACAAAAAAAAAAGACATAACCCACTGAGTTTCTCGCAGGATTTTCTCGGTGAGTCGCGAATCCAATACGGTAGTAGATTTTAGGAGTAGCTAGCAATTCTCTCAAGTTGAGCCCGTGAGCTGATCTGATAGTCCACGTGAACTTGAAATAGCCCCTTAGGCTACCAACGATTAGGTAGGGAAAAAAAGATATGACAATTCTACCGTTCCCGCTTGAATAGAATTAAAACTATGACTCCGATCTCGTTTCCCAAAGTTGGCGATGCCAGTTATGTTACGTTGTGATCCCAGCGGTTATATTGCCTCTTCTTCTCAATCGTGTCACTTTTGATAGAGTGGTCGTAACCGTTATGCAGTGTTGGAGGGAGCAGACTTGATGCGTTTCACGATCTCCCGCCATCTCTCACTACTCGAGGCCAATCTGCTGCTCTCATTTAGAGGACCTCCCACTGCAGTTTTAATTTGGTCGGTCCACCGCATTATGACCTCTCGCGCGGTCTTGTACCATCCACCCTTCCCTGTACAACAAGGCGCTCTATGGACTACGGCCATCTCCTCGCGAAACTGGTCCAAAGAAATCCACCGTTTGAGACTGTACTATGGCAAACTGACGCTTGTACTATAGTTACTATACTTATACTATATAGCAAACGCGCTTGATGCCGATGCCTATGAGCTCTGATATAGTGGTAGGGCCGTGAGCTCGTCAGAATATTTACAAAAATAAATAAAATACAAGCTTCACAGATTGCCATAACAGGTACTGTTTCAGATGAAATATTGGGTCTCTGGAATACGGCGAGGTAAGAATAAAGAAAAAAACATTTTTTAAGCTTTATTTCTGTAATTTTCACATTCATTTGGCAGTTCATTTCGTAGCAATACTATTTAGAAATATTACAAAAACCATCTAAACCTCTAATACAAAGTGACACCCTATTCTCATTTTAGCAAATAAGCTATTTGTTTAACATAAAGAATCAATGGTACAAAACATTTATCATGAGTTTATGATCATAACGCCCATGCTACTGCATCGATTTTTACATATTGTATTTGTGAGCATATTTACTTTTTTTGTTTTATAAATACTAGTTTATTAGGTACTACAAAATGTTAGTATTTCATTCTTACTAGCGATGTACATATTTATCATGGCGGACTCATCATTTTAATTTCTATTAGTATAAATATGAAAATCATAATCATGTTATTCTTATACATAGATAGTTCAGAGATATTATACCTGAAACTATAACAATCTCATACGCGCTTTGATATTAAAATGTCTTTTTAATTTTAGGATTCCAATGAAACTAAGTGGTTATTTATTTTCTCAGGGAGAGTTTATTAAATACGAACAGACAAGAATACCGTTCCCGACCGCAATTTGAACTGTGTACCTGGTAAAACTCGTATCGATCCGGCGATAATTAGGAAGACATTAGAATACAACACGCGTAACGTTCTTTCCTTATATTCTTGTGTGTCAGCCTTAAATGTTATTCTGTCTGATTACGATATTAACATACGTATTGTAGTCATAAAATTAAATGGAAACTAAGAATTTGAAATAGAATTAAGCAAATTGAATGATAAGTAATACAATTTAGCACAGTAAATAAAATAGTTGGTGCTATAACATTTTTAAACTCACTAAGACACTTGACATGTAAAAATGTATGTAATTAGGTACGTGTAGCGGCCGGACGTTGATGTAAATATAGTGCAATTTGATAATAATTGTTACCCATAAACATAACAAAAATGTATATATATAACACTTTAATTTCTCCTGGACACTATGCCGATAGGATGGCCCGGCATTTGGCAGCAGCGGTTATTATAAAACAAACAAAATATATAAACGCAATATTTATCCGTAAATTTATAATAATGTATAATAATATTCGCGAAAAAATAACACCATTCTTTTACTTTATTTTTAATTTTTAAACATGATCATGAATTCAGTTTATTTTACTCTGACTCACAGCGCAATTATCTGTTTCATAATTGCAGTATTGTAATTTCAAAGTGCATGTAAAGAAAACTGTTAACATTAAATTAAATATTTGTATAAAAACGTTTTTTTTTTCATAACATTTCATGTGAAAATGTCGTGCAAGATGTTTTATTAGTCAATAAAAAATTGTCTGACATTTGGATGATCATATAGGACGCTGGTCGCACATTTAAGCCTTAACTCTGTTCCCAATTTATTATCAGTTTATTGGAAACGCTGCGTATTCGAATCAATTCCTGACACGATTTCATTAAAAAACGTTCGTTTTAATTTATTTACCAACGTTTTTGACACAGCGCGCAGTGTAATACAATTTCTTTCAACGCGCGGAGCCTACGGTCTCGAGGGAACGGGAATGGCGGTTGACAGTCCTCGCGTTTTATGTGATTCACGAAACACTTGCCAGACACTGACCACGTGTTTCATGATAGGCCATGGTGTTCATGGTCTCTATGGAATCCGACCAAACGAACACCGGGTGGGTCGTCCCACCTATTTGTGTAAAGAAATTTAATGTGAAATTACGAAACCAATAAATAGTTTTACCTTACTAAGTTAATTATGTTTTTCCTTCACGTTAAAGTAGCCGGTAATACCACCGGTCGTTGCCAGTCGGACGTCTTCGGGTTAGCGCCGCGAGTTTGGTTATAGTGTTGACAGAACGAACGCGGGAACCCCCCTACTCTATTCGTGTTTTGATCGCGAGCGGAGATCGGACGTCAGTTGAGAGAGTGCAAGTGGAGTCGTTTATTCTGGTCTTTTGGTACCGACATCCTCGGGCCGGTGGCCCGCCATCAAAATCTGCGGACTGCCAATACCTCGCTCACCTCCTAAGCGCGAAATCCTCATATTAGAGGCTCAGCTTCCCCCTCCCGATAAAAAAATCGGTTGTCTGTAAAATCGGCTTACTGACGATAGTTGTACGTGACAACGTCATAAGAAAATAGTGATGGAATGGTTTCTTTTTTCAATTATCGCAATTATCGTTGCTATAAACAATTGACACCACATTCACTTTTCACTGAACTTCATACTTGACGAAAATATGTAAATGTTATTATTGTATAGCAGCTGTCCACGCGGATGCATCTCTCACTCAAGTAGGAGAGAGACAGATGTCGAACGCTGCCAAACGCGGAGGCCGATTGTGCCTCTTTGTCGCTCGTTGCGCGCTCTCGCTTGCACTTCAAGCCTCAAATGGAACGCCTCAATGAGTCATGTTTTTTCGTGCGTGCAGCCGGCTCCATCGAATTTTAAGACGTTGTCACGTCAAAAAAGCCATTAATTCCATACAGTGAGCTACACCCGGTTACGGTACGACTATGGTGCTCGGTAACCACTTTACGCCAAGTGAAATGTGAGTACGTTACCCCATCTTTGCAATAAAAAACTCCGTTCCAAAAATCGTCTTACACCCTATGGGTAATGCTAGAATGAGATTTGATATATTGAAAATAGTATTGTCAATTTACGCAAATAATTGAAGATTATCACGTTGTGCTAAAAGTAATTTAAATGTGAATTGTGAAATAATATACGTGAATAGCAGCAGAATAACTTTGTTATCAACGTATACTAATTCCAACAATATAAAAAAAAAAACAATGGCTTGGAAATGTAAAATATTTTACAGCTTCACACTTTAAATTACCATCACAAAATTAAATATTCTTACTACTCACAGAAGTTTATAAAATTGTTTTTATCAAGAAAGTATACTTTGCCTAAAAACTTTGAGTAATACAAGTCCAACTATTAGGGTAAATAATAGGCTGTTTGAATGGAGATCGTTGCTTGCGCTGTCGTCGTCATCAAAATCTGAGGAAAAAAAAAAACGATTGTATGCAATGTGAAAATCAGAATAGACCAACTGAAAAGGCTTGAACGTGAATAGCAGCAAGGCTAGATATTTTCATAAAAATGTGTCAGTGCTAGTACTGCTTACATGAAATGTAATGAACATGCCCGTACTATGCACGAAAGTTTAGAAATTTTTAACACTGAACTAAAGAAAAGCGTATTAAAATAGTAAATTTCGTGGCCCACTGTGATCCACAGTTAAGGAAGAACCGTGATAAAAATATATATTTGATTGAATAATTTCATTTCGTAGCATTTTGGCCGTTTACTCACCAAAGTCCCTAATTTGCTCTCCATAAGCCTCCCCTTGAAAATTTGAAGTGATTGCGTCACTGTTTTGAATCATTTGTGCATCGCCTGTTAAAGCAGCAATGTTAATGTTACATATTCACTACATAAAATAATAAAACAACTGAACGAACAAAACACCACAATACCTTTTTTCCTTATTGTTTGATTATCTAACACAGTTCTTTGTGTTGTAAACGCTGACGGCGGGGCTGGAATTTCTGCAAACATAAATTTTGTCCGCTGAGAGACCTACAAATCTACAAACAACACTTAATATCTAAAGTCAATACTTTTAAAATACACGAACGTTTTATCTTCGAATCCCCAAGACTCGTAAAATAAAATAAAGGTTGTTTTTAGAGACTGCGTCCTTCTCTTTAATGAGGTCACGATTTCAATACCTACTGTGATGTTTATAAGTCTTACCATCCAGCTTAATGATGCCATCGGTCTCTCCTAGTGAATTCTTTGCAATACATTTGTAGAATCCAAAATCTTCCTTAGTTATGTTTCGTATTTTAAGCATCATAAATTTGCTGTAACCGTTGTCCATCGGGAACGCTTCGTATTTTCCACCTACAATTTCCATTTCTGCTTAAATATAAAACCTGAACTATTTGGGATTAGAACTAAAGAGCGAAGTGTGAAGTTTGAAGAAAAAAAATTACCATTTTGAAATTTATAACAGTTTCCAGTGAGAAGATCATACAAATTAGGCATTTGTCTCTTAAAAACGACTCTAATTATCTATAGTTGCTTAATTAGACTTAATTTTTTAGCGCAATACCTATTTTTCACCTCTAAAAAAGTTTGCTTTAAAATGTACGTTGCTCGTAAAACTTATTTAAATAACAGGGAATTATAATGAGTATTTAATATTTGTATATGTTAATATATCTTTTTGAATTACACAGGGCACATTTATTTCTATCTATTTCCATTACGGTATCATAAATCAAAGATACAATCAATGGATGTCTCCCTTGACATGAACACGTGTTATTTATGATTTTATGATAAATGTTATTGTTATGTATTCTGAAGCCAGAGGTTGAAAATGGAATTTTAGTAAATTTAGTATCGGTTAATATCGTACGCACGTAACCTTAATTTTTAACTATATATTTCTAATTTCTATTTTAAAAAAAAATTTAAATTATCTGATATTAAAAAAAATAAGACACTAGAAACATATTTTAAATAGGTAACAAAAATTATTTAAAAATTAAATTTTTCTGCTTTGTTTACCGGAAAGTAAAAGTAGGTAGTTTTTATGGCATAATTAGCTCAAGATCAGTATAGTGAGTGACATGCTACTATCGAAGTATATAACTAGTCAGGTCATAAGTATTGTCACACAGTAAAAACTTTTCTTTTAGAATGCTGGTCACAAAAAAGTTTATTGAATTCGAATCTCGAATTGTTCATGAAAATAAAAATGTATACTTTTAGAATTTTACTCATTTTTAAATATGGAGTGGACGCTTAAAGAAGACCGTGTTGCAGTTATTGCGTTGCATCGTTGCGGTTACGCGCCAATTCAAAGTTTTAACATACTGAAAAATTTGAATATAACCAAAAGATTCGTTTATCGTACCATCAAACGATACAATGAAGACTCTAGTGTAGATGACAGGTCAAGAAGTGGTCGCCCTCGGTCTGTTAGGACTCCAGCAGTGATAAAAGCTGTGAAGGCGCGAATTCAAAGAAATCCCAAACGTAAGCAGAAACTGTTGGCCCTTCAGATGGGGTTAAGCAGAACCACGGTGAAAAGGGTGTTAAATGAAGACTTAGGGCTTCGGGCATATCGAAGAAAAACAGGACATCGTTTGAATGCTCGTCTAATGGACCTGAGACTGAAGAGATGCCGCGCTTTGTTGAAGCGGTACGCGGGAAAAAAATATCGGGAAATTCTTTTTTCGGATGAAAAAATTTTTACCGTAGAAGAGAGCTACAACAAACAAAATGATAAGGTGTACGCACACAGTAGTGAAGAAGCGAGCAACCGTATTCCGCGTGTCCAACGAGGTCATTTTCCATCCTCGCTCATGGTATGGTTGGGAGTTTCTTATTGGGGCTTAACAGAGGTACATTTTTGTGAGAAAGGTGTAAAAACGAATGCAGTTGTGTATCAAAATACAGTCCTGACGAACCTTGTGGAACCTGTTTCTCATACCGTGTTCAATAACAGGCACTGGGTATTCCAACAAGATTCGGCGCCAGCTCATAGAGCGAAGAGCACACAAGACTGGCTGGCGACGCGTGAAATCGACTTCATTCGGCACGAAGACTGGCCCTCTACCAGTCCAGATTTGAATCCGTTAGATTACAAGATATGGCAACACTTGGAGGAAAAGGCGTGCTCAAAGCCTCATCTCAATTTGGAGTCACTCAAGACATCCTTGATTAAGGCAGCCGCCGATATTGACATGGAGCTCGTTCGTGCTGCGATAGACGACTGGCCGCGCAGATTGAAGGCCTGTATTCAAAATCACGGAGGTCATTTTGAATAAACTTTAGTGTCATAAGAATCTATGTTTTGTTAAGTTCATTTTGGTATATGAATGGTTACATAATGAAGAAACTTGTTTCAATTATTTTACATTAAACATATGACAGAATTTATGAACTGACTAGGTATATACCATGTGACATGAGGTTGCAGTCCAAAATTATAATTGTTTTTAATGCCTTAATGGGTGAACGAAATCGTGGCCCACCTAGTGCTATGTGGTTAATATGGTCCTTAGACATCACAAAGTGGACTGAAATTCGGAACGGTAGTCCTAGATCGTATGATCACAATACGCCTTACCATCCGTGCTCAGCTTAAGTATATGATAAGAGTTCTTCATTTTTAACTTTTACTAAATTAAGCACAAAAATTTAGCTTCCTTTTTCATCGAACACGATTATTATACGTATCTTTCGTATGGCCTCTTTGTCACTGAATAAATTATATTAATATACATTATTTATATTTGCGACAGTTTGCTTTAGACGTTTATTTTCTTTACATTTTTCGTGATTCATGTGCTATAAAAAGCCTTTTATATTTCTTGTGACCAATAATAGCAATTCTTTACATAATATGCGTATAAACACATACGTAAATACTTTTTTTCTTTTACTTCATGAGCTAATGGAAAGTAAATTTTTTTTTTTTATTGCCCTTGTAGGCAGACGAGCATACGGCCCACCTGATGGTGAGTGGTTACCGTTGCTCATGGACTTCAGCAATGCCAGGGGCAGAGCCAAGCCGCTGCCTACCGCTTAATACTCTTCACAAGCCTCGTTTGAAGAAGGACATGTCAAATATAATAAATATCAACAGTTTCCATTATATCAGAAAAAATATTAAAACTCTATTAAAGTTGAACTAACTGGCATTTTGTTATGTTTCAATTAACATTGATATATTACAAATTGTCTCACCAGAAATGATCATGTCCCCTCGATCTGTTGTCCAATAGTTAATTGAAGATGGATACGCTTCTGTGTGGCATTCTAATGTTACATCCTGACCTATGTATGCTCCTTCCAGTTGATTGGGAATCGAAAGCATCGGCGGAACTGTGAAAGTAGGGCAATTTGTCATAATTGGCATAACTGTGACGTAACAACTACAAATTTAAAATTCCGAATTCGACCTTTGCTGTATCGAAAAACATATTTTCTTATTGTTTTCGGTACAGCATACTGTGTAGCACAATTAAAGACGCGGTTCATTATCATGTGCGAAACATGAGGAGGTAGGTATTCTCAATTTTTCTGGTTTCAAATTGAGAGCAGGTAATGCGAAACTAGCAACTAAGCAATAACCTATAATGCCTCGTATAATAAATTAACATTATTTTTCGCTTTCATTTTTCTTATTTCCTTTGTAGGCAGACGAGCATAAAGCCCACCTGATGATAAGTGGTCACCGTCGCTCATGGTTGTCAACAATGCCAAGGGCAGAGCCAAGCCGCTGCCTACCATAAAGTACTCTCCGCAAGCCTTGTTTAAGGAATGACATGGAACGCACTGTGGATGAACGCAGCGGTTCCAGATAATATGGATGAACTCTGCTGCGATGGCGGGAGGTGCGATGATAAAAAGGAGATGAGGGGATCATCTCGAATAATTCCTCAGAGCATTTCCCATGGAACATACGGTATAAAACACAAAGAGAACCGAAGTCCCTCTTTAGACCCAGGGGTCCCAAGTGATCCGTGAGAGCGGGATATCGACAATCCGAACAGTCCGTTTCTGTATGGAGTCAAATGGAAGTAACTTGTATTTGGGAGCCTCGGCCCATAGGCGAGAGCAAAACTCCACGCGAGGCCGGACTTGCGTTTTATAAAGCGCAAGTTTCTGTCCAGGCGTGAAATACCGCTTCGCTCTGTTGAGGATTCCCAATATTTTAGAGGAAAATTTGGCTTTACCTTCCTAATTACTTCAAAATTGGACATCGCTCGAAATATCGACCCCCAGAATCCCTATACTCGCGGAAAGCTGCAGGGGTACTCCTTGGAATTGCGGCGCTATGACAAAAGGGTCCTTCATCCTAGCAAACGTGGTCACGTTATTCAAATATTTTTCATGGGAAAATTATGCCTAAAATGTCAACGAATTATGTATGTTGATAGTATAACACTCACATTGTACCATGAGCATAATCCTCTTGCTAATTGAAGGTGGCACGCCATTAGAGGCGATGCACAGGTAGGCGCCCATATGTAATCGAGACACCTTCGTTATTGTCAACGTTTCTCCGTCAACAACACTTACTGTCAAAAAAGATACTGCATTATTATATTATAATTAGAACTACTTTTACGGTTGCCAACTGAATAACACAATATTCAAATGTTGAGGAATAATAATTTAGTCGACCGTGACTACGAAAACAGTATAATGATAGTAAAAAACGCGAGATAAAACCGTAAAAATAATTTTAACCATGACTACGACTTGTAGAAGCCGTAGACAAATATTATAATACTATCTTGAATTATCATTTCATTGTTTTTATTAGAAGTTAATAGGCGATGTATTCGCATTGTTTTATCATAATACGAGTACATAAGATTTATTATTTAGTTATTGATAAAAATTTACCAAAATTGTTATAAGTAATTAAAAGTGATAATATTTAGTGTCTTAAAATATTTGTAAGAAACATATATTTTTTTACTTTTTATGAGTCTAACATAGAATGTTATCAACTTTTAAAAGAAATGAATTACTAACTCACAGACACTGATTCGATATGCCTGAAGGAAACGAGAAATATTTATGAGGTTAAAAGTAGACGAAGGAACAAAAATAACATTTCCTTTGTAAATGAAAGCACGGTTACGTACTTTATACAACGAAAACCGCGTTATATATCAAGCAGATTTAGTTGGCAGTCAACAGAATTGCCGAGTAAACTTCGCTACGAGACTTTATGGATTTGAAACGTTAGTTTCAAAACTATCTCCGCGTTATAGAAAATAACGAAGCTGTCTAGAACAAAGTTACTTCTGGAAATCTATGACACAAAAGTGGTGTAAAACAGAATAAAATTGTATTCTCGAAGTGTGAATATCGAGTTTGGATTTGATACGAATCATAGTTTTGACCTTTTGTATTTATTTAATAGGGGTTAAGGTAATTTATTAATTTTACCTGATTCTCCGTTGTAAGTGAAATCTTGTCCATCTTCCCTCCTCCACATGACGTAAGGCTCCGGATACCCGGATGCACGACAAACTAAGGTCACGTCTGAACTCTCCCGGACCACCATATCCGTTGACGTCATATTATCGATGATTGATGGTGGAACTAAGTAAACCGATAGAAGGCGCCTTAAAATTATTGTGTTTACAGCCATTGTAAGCTACATTAAATTAATTGAATCGACTTTGATTGATTACCGTATTGTTCGTGTGTCTTATTGTTTTCGAGAAAAGTAATTCAATTTTATTAATTATATAGGTAGGCAATGGCCTGGCTCTGCCCCTGGCATTATCGTAGTCCATGGGCGACGGTAACTACTCACCATCAGGTGGGCCGTATGCTTATCTGCCTAAAAGGGCAATAAAAAAAAACATAAAATCAATATTTGCGAAAAATGGCTTTGGCATAATTCTCACTCAATTCATCAACACATAGTCTCTGGAATTGTACTATGGATTCTATTTTTTTTTACTTTTATAATCATTACTAATATAAAAATTACTATGATTAGTTATCTTCCAGCAGAACCAAACAGAAAATAATGAGTAATTATCTGTAGGACATGAAATTTTTCCGTTTTAATTGTCAGTATCAAATAAGATAAGTATGTGTAACTGATAATGCTCTACTATTGTCTAATACGTATACGTACCTACGACTTGCAAGTAGCCTTTTCTAAAATGCATCGGGTCCGTGTTAACCTGGCACATGTACCAACCGCGATCGACCTCCTGAACGTTTTTAATGTGCAGATACCACGAACGGTGGTCGTTATAAGACAGGCTGATGCGAGAATTCTGCGTTATTATATTGTGATGAATACTTAGAATAGTTTGGGTGTCCATTCGCACCCATGCCACCTACGAAAATCCAAAAAAAAAACATGAATTAATGAATCACGAAAATCATTATTGTTTCTTATTTTCATGTCCGTGTCGTTTTGTAATTCAACCAAACGAAATAATATACTGTTTGGACAATTGTTTCTCCATTCGTTATAGCTGTCTTTATTTAGAATGTTGGTATAAGGATATGTAATATAAAACAAAAGTGTTATTATGATTTTTAAATACCTTAAAACCTCTCAGGTTCTCAACGACGCACGCCAACAGAGCGTCGCGGCCAATAGTGACCGTGACATTCGGTATGGGCTCCGCGAATCTTGGGTACATTGATTCTGAAAGAAGCAGTTCAATGAAATATTCCATGGACGACTGGTAAACATGTTTGTTCTAAAAGTTTGATGGCAGCGTTATAGGGAGACGGTGCCGGCGCGTCTGCGAGCCGATCTTTGTCGCGCAGCCAGGGCTGCCAAATAAGTTGGTCGTAACGCAACCAAAAGTTCCGGTAAGTGCCTACTTTGTATTAATTAGCTGAATAACGTTTATTGCTTTCACATACCTACGTTTAATATGAGACAAATTATATCGCTTTTGCCTCTCCTCTCTCTCTCTCGAGAGCTCCTCGGTGTTTTGTTCATAATACAATATTTGTAGTTAAAATTAAATTAAATCCAATATATATAGTCACACTTTAATTCTACAAATTTTTAATTTTTTATTTTTCATCGATTACTAATTTGCGATTAATCATAAATATAGGCGAGTTATAAAATCAACATTTTCTGCAGTGAGATAGTGTTTGGTAATAAATATAATGTGGAGTCTGTGCTGATGTCACTTTATTTTCATTTTAGATCGCCCGACCGCTCTTACGGTGATCTGCCCTGTAGACCTAATCACAGAATCCTTTGGAGTGTTTTTACTGTTTTACTTCTTTAGTTACACGTAAATACCTAAAAAACGTCATAAAGCTTGTAATTCGGCACTCAAAAATCTAAGTGTACGTAAATTATTTCAAGAAAATGTTTAAAAACATTATAAGACAGCTTAACGATCAGTGGCGGGCTGACATTTCTTCTGTCTGTTCTGTCTTATGCAAAATTCGGATGTGGGTTGTTGAGCGACAGGAGGTTTTTAGTCGGTTCGACTTCGACATGCCCCGCCCTCCATCCCCAATGGATGGTGGAAGTCCGGCAATTTCTTCCAGCCCAAAAAATAATGCAGCCTAAAAACTATAGGTTGCAATCGATTCGTTGATTGACAAGTAAAGTAAATACTTCTTTAAACTTAAGTTTATAAATGGATGGAATGTAAATAATTTGACGTTAATTTTTTTAGGCTTAGAAGCTTATAATGGATTTCGTCAGTTTTTATAAATACTCAAGTATTTCTGTGCATTTCCCACCTTCATACAATAACGCCACAATAACGCAGCATCAAGCTTGAACACTTTTTTATATAAGAAAATGCGTAATACCTATCTTAATTTTTTATATTTGGTTTTGATATTTCAAGTTAGCCTTAAAATATAAGGAAGTAACAACCCTTAAATTAGGGTCACGTGATTTATCCTCAGTCTGCCAACGACAAATAGCGGTTTGTCGCACTTTTGTTGCTTCAATTAAAAAAACAATAGGACATACATCTAACAACACACATTCGACTATCTGAGAAAACTATAAGTATTTTAAAACTATGTTAGGGACATTTTTAAAAACTAGTGGTCCCGCAGTAGTCGAAATTTGACTTTAATCAATTGAAATTTAATGTTTAAACATTATTATGGTTCTATTGTCATAGTATATACTTATATAATATAATCACAGATTTCGCCAAAACTACACTATACGTAAATAATAATAAAGACAAACAATATTCATCTATTTTCAATTTGACCACAGACTTAAAACACTAACAAAAGTTTGACAATTGACAATAAACAAAGAGTATATTTATGTATATGTGTTGTGTCAAATACATGGTAGTGTGTGTAATGTTTTCTTTATTGATTTAATGTATCTTTTATGCATTATTTAAAAAAAATATTAGCACTGTGCACTTTTTCTCTATATTCTCTATAAGTGTGGAAAATTTCATACTCCTCCGTCCGCGCAATTTTCGTAAAAAGGGATACAAAGTTTTTCCTTCATGTATTAATATATAGATTATATATTAAAATTAAAGTTCTGAAAATTCTTCTACAATGTCGAAAACTGTGAAACATTGTGGTTCATGGTCCATTTTTTTTCTTGTACTCTAGTATGGGTGGACGAAATTGACGGTCGACATAGTGGTAAGTGGTAACTGGAACTCGTAACATCACACTTTTGTATTTTCATGTATACATCGGTCATTATCCGGAGTGTGGATTACATTGCAAGTCATCGCAGATTTTTTTAACTACATTGTAGACGTAATTAAAAATCCCTTCTTATAGTACCTGCCAGGTAGCTGTTCTATTAATATTTTTATTTTTTTTATCCACCACATTGATTGATCTGTGTGTTGTTTATTAATAAAACGATATACTCTATTACCAGGATAGAAGGGCGTTTTTTTTTCAAGAAAAAATATATTTTCAGATTCCTTGAGTTTCGATCATTTTTGCAATTAAAACTTTTATAAAACACACTTACCATCTGGAACTTCTATAGGTGCTACTGAGACAACATTCTGCCCACTAGGTAACTCACGACCTGCAATTCAGACAGACAGTTTCGCAAAATTTGAAAAAAGGGCTGTTGTTCTAAAACAACTTCTAAAAGTTGACAAAGACATCGTTAATTATTATTAACAAAACGAATGTCAAATTCAGATGATAACAAATGTTGAAATGACAAAATACTGATAAGCTATAGATTATTATAATACTGTATGAAAATAGCAAAGTGAACGTAACGTATTTGCTCATATGGTTTGACATGTCAATATTTTTTTAGAACAAACCATATTATAGAATATCACGTAATTAATAACAGGAAAAGAAGCAGGAGAAGCTACTAGTGTTTCTCAAATAGCCTATTTATTGTAATTCTGAATAACATTTATTCAGTATAAATTAAGCTGTTATACTCGTTGAATTTATCTGATACTAGCGACCCGCCCTCGCTTCGCTTCGGAAACATTAAAACACACATGAAACCAAAAAAATAAAATAAAAAAAAATAAAAAAAAGTAGCCTATGTTCATCAGGGACAATGTCGGCTTCTAATGGAAAAAGAATTTTTCAAATCGGTCCAGTAGTTTCGGAGCCTATTCGAAACAAACAAACAAACAAATCTTTCCTCTTTATAATATTAGTATAGAAGTCNAATCGGTCCAGTAGTTTCGGAGCCTATTCGAAACAAACAAACAAACAAATCTTTCCTCTTTATAATATTAGTATAGATTGAAAAATCGGTTTCGCCTCTTGACATTCTTGTTATATAATCGCTTAAAACTCGGAAGTCGACAAGCACCTTTGACAGCTGCGTGTATTCGCCGATTGTAAAGCCAATATCTATTTTTTATTGAAGTCCTAGATAGACGAGAATAGGTGCATATTCTCCATACCTCACGATGAGTGTTCGCTGTCGCTAATGGAAATAGATAATGATAGGATCGCAGTCAGGCTGCTGCCCGTCGCTGACGATTATTTCTATACCTCGTTTCTAGAAGGACATGTCGTAGTGTTAAAAAAATGTCGGGATCGTTTCAAACCATTCCTCAGAACACTCCCAACGGACATGCGTTACGAAGTCGTCGTGGCCTAAAGGATAAGACGTCCGGTGCATTCGTATCGAGCGATGCAACGGTGTTCGAATCCCGGCAGGCGGATACAAATTTTTCTAATGAAATACGTACTTAACAGATGTTCTCGATTGACTTCCACGATGAAGGAATAACATCGTGTAATAAAAATCAAACCTGCAAAATTATAATTTGTGTATTTACTGGTGGTAGGACCTCTTGTGAGTCCGCACAGGTAGGTACCACCACCCTGCCTATTTCAGCCGTGAAGCAGTAATGCGTTTGGTATGAAGGGTGTGGCAGCCGTTGTAACTATACTGAGACTTTAGAACTCATATCTCAAGGTAGGTGGCGGCATTTACGTCGTATATGTCTATGGGCTCCGGTAACCACTTAACTCCAGGTGGGCTGTGAGCTCTTCTAACTATCTATGTAATAAAAAAAGACAGAAAGAGCTAAAGTCCCACCTTATACTCAGATATTCCAAACAATCCGTCTTAATAAAAAATGTAATAAAAGTAAAAAACTTTCTTAACCCTTTTGACTGCCATTTAGGTCACCGGTGCCCTACGCGGTGCACTGGAGTAATTATCTCGATTTCTGTTACTAAGTCATCCGGAATATCTAATAGACTCTGGGAAAGACGAATCCGAAAATACTGGGAATGAATCTATTTCTAACAGACTTAAACATACATTAACAAACAAAAGGAGGCAAAGTCAGGCAATCCAGGTCCCCTAGTAACAGAAATCGACATAATTAGTTCAGTGCACCACGTAAGGCAGCGGTGACCTAAACGGAAGTCAAAGGGTTAAGTTTCTCGAGAGGTCTGTTTTAATTCTTTACATTGTAGGTTCGCTCTTCCACACGTTCTTGTTTTGTTTCTTCCAACCTAAATTATCTATTTGATAAGATAAAGCATTTGCTTAAACAAACATAATACCAGAATTCGTTAACTATAAATTCGGCGTTCTAGAATCATTTTGTCCTAATTGGAGCGAACAATTTGTTTATTCTATATCGTAGTTACCTATATAAACAAAGATAATAGGGAGCTCGTGAATTATTCAGCTGATATCGTAAATTTAAACAAGCTTAGACCTGAATGAGTTACTCCTATTATTAAATATCAGATATCTAATTATGGTGAGACGATGATTAATAGACTGCTCTACTTTCCTCATCGGATAAATAATATTCAAAGGCCGCATTTTCGATGCATGACCAAAAAAGAAATCCATTACAGCGTCGCACCGCTGCGTTCATCGACAGTGCGTTTCCAAAGATCTTTTTTGCCACGTACCATCCGGCTTTGGAATGAACGGTGTTTTCCGAGCAATATGACATGTCCGTTCAAACGAGGTTTGCGGAGAGTACTTGATAATAGGCAGCGGCTTGGCTCTACCCCTGGCATTTCTGACGTCCGTGAGTGACGGTGACCACTTACCATCAGGTGAGCCGTATGCTCGTCTGTCTACAAAGGCAATTAAAAAAAACTTTCATTTTCGTTTGGTTTTAATATTGGTTTCGTAAAGTTTAAAATTATCGCAGTTTATATTTCGCTCTTCGGCTATTTGGGCCGGTGCCTCGACGCATTAAACGGTGATAGATTTTGTCGAAGGGTTTGTATATACCATTACGTCTAGCGTTGACAGACTCACGCCGTAGCGACGACAGGATTGTTCCATTATCGACGTTGAGATGAATAATTGACACTGCGCTCTATGGATGTGGCGATATTGTATCGACTTTATGGTACGCTTTTTCCGTAATTAAACGTGTCGAAAGCTTTATGACTTTAAAAATAAATTTACTATTGAATTAAAGGAATGGTTACAGCACTGTATTAGAGGCGAACAAAAAAATTTCGAATTTGCATGATGACAAATATTATAATTTAAAAGACTGTATTATTAAAAATTTATACACTGTTTCTCTTAACATAGGCTATTCTGTAGTTTATCTCAGAAAACAACACAGTTTAGTGAATACTAGTGTTTCAGATAGTATTGTCATGTATTTTGTGTAGTACCTATAGAAACTTAAAGTTATTTTTCAAGTATAAATGATACAAAAAGTTGCTTAGTTTCCCAATTTGAATAATTCGTTTGGCCTAAACACCCGTATGGTACACGCCAATACTGTTCGCCCATAAAACATTCAGTTTTTAATAAGAACAGTCAATTATTAGTTTCGTAGCTCACAGTGTGTGGGTGCTCGTAACTTCTCAAGCCCCGTTGACACGGGGTCACTGCCGGGGTAAACATGCCGCTTCCAGCCCAATTGCTAACTTAGCCATAAGTGGATTGAATTCCGGGGAAATTCAGTCTCATCCTTTGCTAATGCCTCTCAGTGGACCACTATTATTGTTATATTCATTTACTAAAGGATATTTTTCTGATGCATTACTTTATTGCTATTTCTAATTGAATATATAATTACATTTAATCTTTTAATTAATAAAATTATACGTAGGACCCAAAAAGTTAAATTAGAAAACGTTTTGTAAGATATAAGTGGACGCATATATTTTTAGTTTGTTATTTCGCATATTATAATGTTTCAACGGCAACGGCCGCGTTTTAATTATCTGTAAAGGCAAAGAGCAACCCGTCAATTATAATTTAAACTCAATGTTGGTAATTACAAAGGCGGAACATATCATTACTCAATATTGAATTCATAAAGGTTTGAGTATGATACAAATTCTATTTACAAGTTATTGATCTCCGCTTTTCATGAGTTTCATTTAGACAGTTATAAATCAGAAAAAAATCAGCCAAATATAATTGTCTACAAACTAAGGAAATCCAAATTGAAACTAGGTCACGAAATTTCAATGTGTTCTAATTTATTTCGACACATCATTAACACAATGAGCTCATATTCATGGATATCAAAATTAATCACGTAAATGTTCGCATCCGCCACACAAATACGATAACAAAAAATTCACGATATTTCAGAGCACTATGTTATGTCCATTTTCAAATGAAGCTTAAAAAAATTCACAGAAACGGACAGCAGTTTGATTATTTCCTTTGCACATATTCATGACCCATCGTGGCCAGTCACCATCAGGTATGTCATGTGCATTTGAAGACAGCAAAACGATGATTTAAATGATTACTTCAAAATAGGTGAGATATTAAAATTCATCATTTATCTATAGATTTTAATAAACAAGACGTCAATCAACTTGATTGCTATTATTTAAAATACAATACGCTTCATGAAATAGCGATCCCAATAGCTATTTTGAAAACAAAGCAGTGCATTATAAATATAACAGTAAAAATCAAATAAAGGATTCCCAAAATAACATTCGATTTTAAACCCGATAATTTGATGGTAAAAAGTTATTGCCAAGGTTTGAACAATATTTTATTCTGATATTCCGTGATTCCCAGATAATTATTAAAGCTTAATTAATTATAATTAAAGCTTTCACTCCGGACCGCTTTTACGAGTATATGGAATTCAGAGACTGTAGATATAAAATAAAATTAGTTTTAAATTTTAAGCTTTGTTTACGTCATGTTTCCGTGTAAATGGGCCTAAGTTATTCCTCTTTATTGAGATTTTATTAGAATAATTCCACAAGTATTAATAAAAAAAGGTCATTGACATTTATGTTTCATTAAATATTGGCATTTTCATATATTATAGTATAGTTTGTGATAATTTAAAGCGTCTAGTAAAATGATTCCTTCTTTGCAGTAAGCGAGAAGGATTCATTTGTCATGGTATCGCAAAGAATTTCCCTGCAAATTCCGGGGTGTAATGGAATTACCATGGAGTCAATGTTCCAAGCGGCGTCGTCGCTTGGAAGGTAAAATCTAGATATGTAACTTCTAAAATGTTGGTTATCTTCAACAAAGCGAGGAGTTACTTCACTTCTGGTCAAAGACTTCATTGTCTAGTACTACTCGTGTGCTTGGACTGGGGGTCTAAAGAAACACTTCTGGAGAAGTTAATAGTGATGCTTAATGGTCTTTAATTTTAAGTAGCTTTGAGTTCATAGAGACGAGGTCCGTTATGACCTGAGTTTCTTTCACGGACAATGTTCTGAATAATTGTCTCAGATGATTTGGCCTTTTCCTTTTATGATCACACCACCCTACGTTTTTAAATAATATTTTTGCAACATACCGCAGACGGTATGTTTTGTGTTTCTTTGAATGAAGATTTAAAGGAGTCGTGAGCGGTAGATTACGGCATGGATGCACCAATGACCTGCTGCTGTCCATGAGCGTCATTGACTACTCAAAAATCAGGAGGATCATGTGTTTATGTACTATTGAAGGCAAGAAATCTCTCTCTAGATTCAGCGGCTCAAAACGATGTGTGAAGTGGATTATCAACATATAATAGATACAACAACTATACTGGTGGTAGGACCTCTTGTGAGTCCGCACGGGTAGGTACCATCACCCTTCCTATTTCTGCAGCAGTGGGCAGCGTGAAGCAGTAATGCGTTTCGGTTTGAAGGGTGGGGTAGCCGTTGTAACTATACTGAGACCTTAGAACGTATATCTCAAGGTGGGTGGCGCATTTACTTTGTAGATGTCTATGGGCTCCACTAACCACCTAACACCAGGTGGGCTGCGAGATCGTCTATCCATCTAAGCAATAAAAAAAAAATAAAAAAAGAGCGCTCTCTATCTTTATGGAACTTAATTAAGGCAGGTTTTGAAACCTCGTTAATAGAAGGACATAACGCTCAGAGAATAACGTGGATTTTATTTTAGAACCCGATAGTATATGAGTGATCTTTGAATACGGGTCAAATCAAATAATTTCTTATATAATTATTAGTAATATAAAATAGAGACACAAGCAATGACTGGTCTCAGAAGTTGTTTACAATGGATCCAGTTATATCTTTAGCGCACTACCCGTCTCCGGACCAAATTTCAACAGATCGTTATAACTACGTAACATTCAGCTCTGGTATGACCTCCAGTCCTCTTATGTTATCATATAAAAACGAGGCTTGAAAAGAGTCTGGCAAGCTGCGGCTTGATTGTGCTTTTGGCAATGCTGAAGTTATCCTTTTGTGGGCAGCAAAATCCCAGGCAGTAAACTCTATTTCCTACTTCGGTTGCTTGCAAGAAACTGTACATTTTTCATTTTTATTATTATTCAAGAACAATCGCAGTTTCCTTGTGGTAGTTTTAGCCTCTATGCCATTCACATCAAATACAAAATGTATTCGGAGCGTAAGTAATCAATCTTTGTCAAAAAGGTTATTTGTATACATCGAATTCTGATTTTTCGGTGTTCATCAATACTTTGTTCTATTTCAACTGTATTCGGTAATATTTATATTATACATACATAATGTTCATAGAAAATATTATGTTCTATTCCATCTTAAGTAGGGATTGTATCTAGTATGTATTTATTTGCTTTTCTTATGAAGTTTTGGTTACTTATCACATTTTAATACTATTAATCTATACTAGATGATGATCAAGCTTAGCTCGGTTTTTTTTTGATAACGCCATCTTGTTGTGTCTTTAAAGCGGTTACTTGCCCCCATTTAGGAAAAGTAATATTATTATTCGCCAATAGATGTCGGGAAGAGTTGATTATGGAAAACACGAATAAATTTTTTTTTTCTGAAAATAAATCGTAGCTAGATCGATTTATCGCCCCCGAAATCCCCTGTATACTAAATTTTATGAAAATTGTTGGAGCCGTTTCCGAGATTCAGATTATATAATAATATATATATACAAGAATTGCTCGTTTAAAGGTATATGATAAAATAATAAGATACAAGAATAAAAAATGACAGTTTGAATTCAAATGCTGGTTAAATACAGCTTAAATCACCACCAACCGTTATGAAATATTTTCATTTATACGGACGTCCTAATTTATACGGAGACAAAATACATCGATAACTGTCAGGGTTGGTCGGAAGATGGCCTGGACTGCGGAAATCCGTCGATGCGTCACTGACGACGGGGTCGTGTTTGTTTGTGATTCTTTCCCCTTAAGTGAATTATGTTATAGAGACACAAGTCCTCGTCAGGGAGACCGCCCTCTGAATACATCTCGCATCTGAAGGAGCTTACGATTTCTTGATGCAAGTGGCCGATTCGATCTGTTTGTACAAACATACAGATTTCTCTGTCCGCTCTTGTTTATCGTTTGTATATGTTCAATTTACGTGACCTAATTTTCAATAAATAGCGGTTTACGATTCAACGAAATAAAAGCGATTCATTAACAAATCGTTAAAAGATTTATTCGATAAAAGAGTAGTTTAAAAATTTACGAATAAATTAATTATATAGATAGAACTAAAATGTTTAAATCGATGTTGTTTGTTAATTTTTTATTTATTGGTAAGTACTGGTGTTGGCCTTACTGGTGGTAGGACCTCTTGTGAGTCCGCGCGGGTAGATACCACCGCCCTGCCTATTTTTGTCGTGAAGCAGTAATGCGTTTCGGTTTGAAGGGTGGGGCAGCCGTTGTAACAACTATACATGAGACTATAAACTTATATCTCAAGGCGGGTGGCGCATTTACGTTGTAGATATCTATGGGCTTCAGTAACCACTTAACACCAGGTGGGCTGTGAGCTCGTCCACCCATCTAAGCAATAAAAAAAAAAGTAATACAGATACATAAAATCAGTACCAATGCTTTGCGTTTTACCGTCAAAACCATAATAAATTCGTAAATATGTATATTAAATTAGGTATGTATTTATATTTATATTGAAGAGAGTTACTACACTTAATTCTAAATTTGTACCGACAAATTATGGACTTCGATAATTAGAAGAAGTATCATATAAAAGTAACTCAATTTAATATTACATACACATATTGTTGTTTTTTTCATTTCTTTCAAGTTACAAGTAATGGTTCTAGCTTTTAATTAAAAATGTTTGTGTATGTATTATTAAAAAGTTAAAAGTAGAATTTACAATGTTCAAATGGTTTCATGGTTGGTGTTTTCTTAGTTCGTGGGTATTTGAAAAAAATAGAGTTTAAACCTCAGTAACACTTGTCTGTTTAGATTACGCAAATGAATTTGAATTTATGTAATTCTTTTGAGAATAAAGAATATCTTTAACCCGAATTTTGAATCGCAAATTGAAAATATTTGATTTATATTATAAAATAATTTTTACAACAACAGTCCAAGATTTATTCATGATCGTTTTCCGTTGTATTATTAGCATAACGTCCAATTATGGTTATAAATGTTAATGTGCAAGTTCATTCGATGAGTAAATAAATAATTTATAATATTATGATGTTCCATAATAATCCTAATTTAGTATTTTAGTAGAAATTAGTAGTTAATTATCTTGTGTTTAGTATTTATGTAAATATAAATTAAATCACTATATAAAAATGAATACGGAAATATAATATATCTATTGAGAACTTATAACTATTAATAGGATATATTTTAATTGAGATGTACCATACCTGACTCCTGAAATTCATATCAAGTATCTATAACTTCATTTTAGTTATTCCAAATCTAAAATGGCTGTAATTAATTAATCAAATTTGTTATTATAGTTTTTAAGAGTAGAATCTCTATGAAAACTATAGTTTTTACACTTTCTCACGATATTCTGTGTGTACGGTATGGTACATACTTAACACCTATATTCATTTGTAATATAAGATTTGATGCTTTTCACCTCCTTTTTACTTCAGCACGGTGCTTCTGTCTGTGATTTTAATTGGCTTTCGTCGCTTATGGACATCAGCAATAACAAGGGAAGCGAAACGGCACAAAACGATGTCTTAATTTATCTATCCAAGAATATTGATAATGGTTTCTAAGTTCGGAGCATTATCAATGTTTTATAACGTTTCTAATAACAAAGCGATCATGCAACTCAATTTTTAAACAAAAAAAACTTTTACTTAGTTTCGATCGAACTCAATAAAAATGCTAATTGCACTATCAGCTCACCTGTCGTTCCGCAGCAAGCGGTCAATAACGCTATCCATACGACACAGTAAAAATGTATAAAAAATGTCATTTTGTCAGATTACATAAATTACTTAGGAATGTTCGTAAGATTACGTAGATACGGGTTTAAGTTCATTTATCGTAGAACGCGTGTAGCGGTTTTGTCGGTTGTGATCGGCGTCCCATCGCGGGGTCGGCTACGGAGCCACTGCCGCGGGGCGCCGCCAATGCGCGCCTCCCTAGCGAGATAAACAAGGGCGAGAAAACCGGGAACAGACAGACAAGCAGTCTCGATATACGCTAGCCTTTTTGGGCGGACTCCATTGCATCGTAATAATTGGAACAAGGATTATGTTTAATACTGAAAAATATTTGTAGAATGAAATGATTAGTCAACTTTTCGTCGAAATGTACACGCCGTAGTTCAATTGCATAATAATATTACGTATAAATCAGACTACGTAATAAGATCTCGATATGCTTGTGTGTACACCGTACAATTTGCTTTAAGATTAATTTCAATAACATATTAATAAATACTTAAGCATATTATGTAGCGGAGTGAATTGAAATGAATGAATAATTTACCAAATTAATTGGACTCTTTCGATTTCAATATTCTTTTGACAGATGGATGTTATTTAAGATGAAAACCTTGACCTCTTAAAGAGACCTACCTGTACATAGCCCAAATAATGGTGAGTAGCCGTTGACGCTCATGGGTGTCCGTAAAATCAAAGATAAAACTACACCGCTGCACTCACTAGGGTCTCTTTTCTAAGGCTTGGTATTTTCCACGACAACGACAATTTATTTTAAATCATCACTCCGTTCTCTCATATTTCGTAGACCCTTACACGCTGTATTACACAGACCAATTTCGGAGTCATTGATCTACACATCCAGTCGTCGCTATTGTCATTGTAAATGAAACTATAAAATGAACGAATAAAATTCTAGTTTTATCATATTCTCGTATCGGTGATCTTAAATCTACAAACCACGAACTACGACAATAACATGTCTGAGAGCGGAATGTGTATTGTTACGGGCGTTTCATATACGATATGCGATAGTGTCACGACACCCCCACGCTGCACTCTCGGCCGCATCGCAATAATGTACTTCTTAAGTGTGGCTTGCCTTTTACGACTAAGAGCTTTAACACTAAGTTATCAACATTTGTGTGTTGATTTAAGCTTCTGAAATATCTGTTTCTCTGTACAAGTAATGTTGTATGGAATATACCTGGTGCCATTTTCTTCTCCGCCTAGAGTTTTTCTCCTAATAGCCGAAACAATAAAAAAAAGATGTGTGGTGTCGTGGGACACCGGATAGGAATGAAGTGCCTTATTATAAAAATATTACTGGTGGTAGGACCTCTTGGGAGTCCGCACGGGTAGGTACCACCACCCCGCCCATTTCTGCCGTGAAGCATTACTGGTGGTAGGACCTCTTGTGAGTCCGCACGGGTAGGTACCACCACCCCGCCTATTTCTGCCGTGAAGCAGTAATGCGTTTCGGTTTGAAGGGTGGGGTAGCCGTTGTAACTATACTGAGACCTTAGAACGTATATCTCAAGGTGGGTGGCGCATTTACATTGTAGATGTCTATGGGCTCCAGTAACCACTTAACACCAGGTGGGCTGTGAGCTCGTCCACCCATCTAAGCAATAAAAAAAAAAAAAAAAAAAAAAAAACTTATATCTCGAGGTGGGTGGCGCATCTACGTTGTAGATGTCTATGGGCTCCAGTAACCACTTAACACCAGGTGGCCTGTGAGCTCGTCCATCCATCTAAGCAATAAAAAAAATAAAATAAAAATTTTAATTTTAAGTTCCATTCGCGGTATATAGAAAATAATTATTCGGGTATACTTTTTTATTATGATTTTTTTGTTGATAAAAATAATAAAAAACTACATTACAAAGTTATCAACTATATTTTATTCACAATGATTTATAAAAAATATATAATAAAAAAATATGTTATTTTTTGTACGTTAAGCCGTACACTGTGTGCATTACTAATAAAAATCTTACGTTACGGACGTTTTTCCCGGTTAGGGTACCCCTCCGCATCGTCCCATAAGGAACTTCGTTCCAAAATTATGTTTGAAACTTTGCCTCGATCCTCTACGGATATTATTACTGTAAAGAAATTACGTTCAATAATAAGCCAATTTGTTGAAACTGCGTACACACGTCCCATGTAACCGGATTACCATTAAATGGGCCATGAGTTAAAATAAAACTTTTAAAATTCGTTTGAGTGAAAAAGTTTTGATGTCTCATTTAATGTTTGAACGGATAAGACCGTTACTTGTCGTACCTAATTACTGACCCAGTCCACAGTTTAGCTCGTACGCACAATAGCATGAAAATTTATGAGGAAACCTACATATTCTTCTGAAACGCGTTTGTTCAGATCAAGTAATGGCGCGGAGGTCAGCCGGCGCGTCGCCGTCGCGCCGTTGAGCCGTAGTTTCGCAGTTTGTTCACCCCGAAATATAGGATAACGACATTTGTTACGACTGCTTGGATCAGTTCTTTAACATGCTCTTGTTCTATCGGACCCCTTTATAATTGAATTGCCGATATAATGTACCCACTACAATGTCCACAAGGCACAGTCTATCGATTCTGCATATGGTAATGGACTAAGTTTGAACTCAACGCTGTGTTGGGTTCTTGTATTCATGAGATATCTAAGTATATTATTTAAGCTCTGTCATTATGAATGAATCAGCATTTTCATGTAACTATTATTGATACTGCATTTAGAAAAGTGAACTAAACTATAATGGATGAAATCACATAATTTTCAGATGACATTAAAAAGATTATTGTCTCATACAATTGTTCGTGATGATGAACATGAATGTTAAATGACTTAGTATTTTCCTCAATTTTCACGAGTCGTAGACAGAATTTTTTACTAATTTTACGGTTATTCATCGACATTTGAATGTTGTGCAATATTGAACATCACGCATAGAACGTTTTCCGTCAATGACCACGATAATTATTACCTAAGTTCAAAACATCGGAAATAATAGAACCATAAAAAATGCAAAATTAATGCTTAATGACTTGCGTTCAGAGTTTTTTTGGCGAATTACAATATTATCGAAAATAACTGAAAATAATGAAGACACCTGTCCTACACATTATTTTAAAAATGTTGAATGACTGGAACTGTGTCTATTTTGATCAAATGTCGAGGGAAATCACTTCACATTGTTGAGGAATTGGCAACGCAGACATGGCCTAGCCACGTAAGAGAGGTAGGATTAATTCGAACTAACATCTAAACTTAATGGAATTTACGTAAATAGAATTGAAAATTGAACGCATACAATGTATTGACGCTGTAGGTAGATAATGTAATGATATCAAATTTCGGTACATTTTTATTGATTTATGACATTATTTAAGCTTGTTTCTACAAGTTCATAACCACAATATTCCGACTGGCGGTCTTCTAAGCATTTACTGGTGGTAGGACCTCTTGTGAGTCCGCGCGGGTAGGTACCACCACCCTGCCTATTTCTGCCGTGAAGCAGTAATGCGTTTCGGTTTGAAAGGTAGGGCAGCCGTTATAACTATACTTGAGACCTTAGAACTTATATCTCAAGGTGGGTGGCGGATTTACCTTGTAGTTGTCTATGGGCTCCAGTAACCACTTAACACCAGGTGGGCTGTGAGCTCGTCCACCCATCTAAGCAATAAAAATAAAAATAATAAATAACTAGCACGCGTTTGATGTAACATCTCCGCTTTGTAGTTGGAGTCAATCTTGTTTTATAATATTAATTATTATATTATTAACCCGGGTAGTAAAATTGAGCATCAACAAAAAGTGTATTGAATTCAATTATCACGCCTCGTCTAAATGATACTTTGCATGAAAAGAAAAATTCAAAGAGTTTTCCCATTATGGCAATAAAGTATGTACGTACCTGGTAACAGATAGCAATCACATTTAGTATTTTTTGTAAGAGGATTTTTGTACAACTTTCCCTCAAATCACTGTAACTAAATATGAGGCCAAACTCTATTAGCAAATGATAGGTTTGAGTTTTACATTTAGATTATTTTAATAATTTTTTTATTGCACAGATGGGTGGTCGAACTCACAGCCTATATGGTGTTAAGTGGTTACCGGAGTCTATAGATATCTACAACGTAAATGCCGCCACCCACCTTGAGATATAAGTTCTAATGTCACAGTATAGTACAACGGCTGCCACACCCTTCGAACCGAAACGCATTACTGCTTCACGGCAGAAATAGGCAGGGTGGTGGTACCTACCCGTGCGAACTCACAAGAGGTCTTACCACCAGTAAATAATAATAAATTTACATGATAATTTAAAATAACTTACCTATATTAAACGGAATATAACTCTGGAATAACACAAGTGATGTATTTACATACAATTTATTTTCCAACAAACAAGGCCGCCAATTTATATCACCGACTATTATTTGTTTTATTAGCTTACTCTGTACATATATTATGGTGTTAAATAAAGTTATATATATATTTTTTTTTGTATTGTGTTTCTCGAAATACTTAAGATATTTCGGTATAATGAAGATCACGGACCTATGCCAAGTGATCTTCATTTTCTACTTGCAGAATATTTAAGTCTTCCTGCAAGAATTGACGGACTATACGGCATGTGTTTAATATTGCGGCTTTTTGCATGGTCATGTACGTGTTCTCTGCTATGTCTAATATTTTGAAAGATTGGAGTAGGTGTTTAGGTATAACGCCTGTACTGGATAGCACCAGTGGTACAACGTAGACTTTGTTCATTTTCCAGATTCTTAAAATTTCTTCCTTTAATTCTGTATATATTATTATTACATATTTGGCGATTCCCTTCCAATATTCAAGAACAAAATTATAAAAAGTTGTTGTTGAACTTCAGCCTCAGCCTTGGTCTGAGTACTCGGGTATTACTGTCCTTGTTGTCTTTCTTTTGTTTTTAATTTTTTATTATTATTAATAGTATTGTTAAATCTCTATTGATATATTAATGTAATGCATGCTGTGTTTGCCTCTAATTAGAGTTGCAGTTATCAATTGCTCTATACATGTCAATGTTATTTTATGTCTTACTGTAAACCCTGTCGGTAATCCTTAAATAAATAAATAATAATAATAATTATTATTATTATTATG